AGGAATAACACCAAAGTTTAAAGCCACATTAAATGTTGATGTGTGGTTATAGTTACGAGGGCAACGCAGAGGAAATTGTGATAAGGACTTGAACATTATTATTGTAAGTTATTCTGTGTAATACTGTACATTTTTATTATAGTTTTTATTTTTACTTAAATGGCAAGGTAATTATGTTATGTTTGTACCTGGTGATGTGCAAGATGTATGATTTGGAGGTCTACAGAAAGTTTGTTAATATCATTTGGGATCATTGGTACGCTGGCAAAGTTGATAGTGCAAGGAGAGACCCCTATGGAAAGTAGTTGGTTTGCTCCGCGCCATGATATGAATTCACTGCAAACGTCACATCTGCAAGACTGGATATGGAATGAACCAATTCTGTTACAGTGGTCGATTTAATTACCACGGTTCACACCCTCCACAGGTGCCATTCATTGATGCTCGAGTTGTACTTCATATCCAGTTTCTAACTCGGAAGCAAAAAAACCAAGAGGCGTATGTTTGCCTGAACATTTCTTTTAAGACGTGACAGGGTTGGCTTCATGAAATAACATCTCTTGAATCGGCCCTGGTTGCTCTTTTGACAAAATGGCTGAAACTAAATCCCCCTGTTTGGAATTGGAAGACCTCTTGTGGGTTTTCATGTAAAAATCTGAACGTGAACAACCGTGAACAAGATTGTTGGCCTGTCGTCGGCCACTTTACAAGCACGCGTCCAAAAAGGCCCCCAACAATATTGAACCCGCTCCTTTCCAAACCATATTTTCGAGCAGCAGGCAAGGATGACTTTGACGATCAACATTTTCCACCACAAAATAACATCATCGTCCAATTGTTACGGTTCTAAAACACATCAATGTCAGACTTGTAAATTAGCAACACTACCCTGTGCCTGATTGTTTACAACTTGAAATTTATAATTGTAAGTTAAAATGACTACAAATTGATATTTGATATTTATTGTGAAAGCCTCGTTTTGTTATTGTAATCATTAATTTATTTTTTACAGTTAAGCTTTAAATTTTTTTTACATATTACAGTGTTATTTTGTTATGTTAAACAGGATTTCTTTTTTTACTATTGCACGACAATGTAAACGATAGCTCGACACAGTGCGGGATTTTCTGCTTCAAGCGATGGCAAAATGTTTCCCCCTTTTGAGGTTAAATCGTGAAATGTGAGTCCAATCGGTTTCTCATCTCAAGTCTGGAAATAAGCCCAATATTTGACACAATGCCCCTTTTTAAGCTACATCAGGTGAAACCACACTGGTAAAAACATAGCACCAGCCCGGACTGTTACCCTGAACGTTCAGAAAAACGTTGTCCAAGGAGGTTGAAAACTATGAGAAGAAGAGGAAGAAGAAAAGCTTGTCAAATATCATGAAAGTGTTTCAAAAGAATGTATCAGGTCCGGTATTCATTGTGCGATATGCAAGGACTATGGCCTTGGGATTTATGCCATAATTAAGATGAACAAAAAGTAATTTTGTAAAATAATTTGAATTAGTTTTTGTAAATTATATACGCAGCATCCAATGTGGGAACCAGAGACCAAGTAAAATACAGGCAGCAAACGATTGCCTGCTTTAATTCATCAATTAGAGGTGGCGCTTTTCCCGCGGGTTACAGGCGAGAAGTTTCATTTAGTTATCCATACCAGTTTCCGATCAGCGTGCGCCGATGGTTCTGTTACTCTTATACTCCGTGCGTGGAGATCTCCTGGAGAATGTTTTTTGCAGCCCATGTTTACATGGAGCAGGGGGAGGGCACCTCCAGTTAGCACGGTTGGCTTTGTACGGTGCGAAGGAAGTTCACCATACATACAAGTGAATACTAAAGGTGCAAAGGAAATGCCACAGTGCAAGCTAGCACGTAAAACAAGTGTTACAACGAAAAAGGCCTATTCCAATCCAATTTAATCCGATTAGCTAGTGACGACCCGCTTCTAGCTTACGTAAATATTAACGTTTCTAAAATATTCACTGCTGTTAATATCCGCAACGGGGCCTGTATCTTCTCGTTGGGAAGAACTATCATCTTAAGAATACTGTGGAGGGAAAGTATAAAGAACATGTTTACCTTTCGATTCAATTACTAATTAAGTCAATCTTATTTCCCCCCCCCAAAACATATCACTGGCCCCCTATGCGCGTGCAAAAATTAAGTGACAAAAAAGCCTCTAGATGTATATACTATATATCAATGTATACACAGCTGCCTAAAGAGAGACAACACGAGGGGAGATATAAGTAAACCAGGGTCCTTCACACTTGTACTGGCACCCACTTACTCTTAAGCAGCACTGAAGCAGGACATTGCTGAACTCACGAAGAAACAAAATGAAAGTCCGAAGTTGGAGGGAGGTGAAGGAAAGACGCTGACAAGGGTCGTGCGCTTCCTGGGGTGGCACGAGCGATTATCGGCTGGATCGCGATATGAATTTTGTAAGAAACATGCAGTCTCCCACAGCCACCGTACTGCGGATGTGTCACCAATGCCCAGTACAGTGTGTCCTCGAAATAGCGAACTAATTCAGGGAAGGGATGCCCCGGTATATCCCATTTCAATAACAAAAGAAACACCATTATTTGCATGAAGACGAAATTTAGCCCACTTGTGAAATTGTTTTTTTTTATATTTACAAATTTAAAAGCGTTATGAAAGGTATAAGGAGAAAAAAAGAACCCACTGAACCTGCCAAAAATCAAACCAATTGTGAAACACGCAATCGAATAGTACTTTAGTGCAAAGTACTGCACTTAATTGGGACTGCACTGGCACGTGGAGTTTCTGGACAGTGTAGAGAGGCAGTAAAAAAAATCAGGCGAAATTGCACTGGTTCAGTCCTCTTCCAAGTGTTTCAGTCGTGCAATTCAAATTTGTTTTTCCAAAGTTTTTTTTTTAAAGGGCCCCAGACCAAGAATCTCCAGTGATATGCAGGACGTAGCGGATGGCTTTTAAGGGCACTATACTTGGATGCGTTGTGGTTTGTGCGCTGGGGATCGATGAAAAATGCCGTTACTTCCCCCGCCTGCCGCCCTCTGAAAGTATGTTGCTAACGCCCAGCTATTGTGCCTCAGTGTTGCTGCTTTTGGTGTTGGGTCCTCAACAAATGCCAATTTTGCACCATTGCCGTTTGGTGGTGGTGGTGGTGGTGGCGGCGGAGGTCCGCTTGCTGTCTGTTTCTTGTCGAAACGAACCTGTACATATTTATTACCAGATTCTAGGTAAATAAAGAAACAAAGAGGCAAAAAAATACATTACAAAAAAAGTGATTTGTATTGTTAGAGCGTAACTTGCATTTGTCGATGATGTGTTTCCATGGAAAAATGCTCGCATTTAATAAATATGAAAAACAAAAACGGGGCCAAGGACAGTTTTGAGTGTGCGCACGCGAGTAACTTAATTTTTGCTGTTGTGCCAAGATGTTTCCATGCGATGGAATTATACTCAAACAAGAAATGAGCAGATGATTCTCCCCATCACCATGAAGCAACCCTCCGAAATGACGCTCATCGTTCCGCACACTAAAACCCACTTTGGTAATCGGAAAGCAACAATAACGCATGCGAGAACTCAAAATCTAAACCTGCGGTAATAAAATTCAAACAGCCGAGCGAGTTTCCGTGGTTGTGCCGCTGCTGCAATGGGGCTGTGGCTTCCAACGCCAAAAAAAAAAATGACTCGCGCCGGATTATTACACCGTTGTCCGCAATGAACAAAAGCCTGCGCGCAACACCAATGCAGCTACATTCCTTCATATTGCTCAATTAACTATCCGCCTCTCGATTTGTCATGAGTGTGGGTGGGTATGAAATCTGCAGAGGCAGTGGGGGGGGGGGATTTTCGAACGAGTTTTTGCCTGCACGAGTCAATGCACGCAATGAGTAATTTGCAATGCCCCCCCACCTTGTCAACGCAAAACTGGACTCCCATTAATTCGTAAAGGGCGCGCGAGCATCTCATCATTGTCGCCCCCCCCCGCCACCCCCGAAACAGAACTGTGCAACAAATCCCGTGGCACCGAAAAGCCCAAGGGCGACCAGCGACGACATCGCGGATGCCCTTGGAAGCCACGGTCCCATGAAAATATTTGTTTTCATAGGCATCGACAAAGGATCATATTGAGTTTATAATTTTGTAAAAGCTCCCTTCTTCCTAACTGCTGAATTTGGGTAAAAGTACACGTGGAAAGTTGGGTTAATGCCAAAAGCAAAATTGTGCAATTCTCACTTTTGCCCAAGTTTGACTCTTAGTTACGTGACACGGGTGCATTCACGATTACAAAACATTTCACTCACCAGCCACCTTATGCTGCAATAGCAATCCACGCAGATTACCGCATGGCTTGCATCAACAGTTACCCTGTGCGTGCAGACACACCCACAATCACTGGGACGAGATGGGAGTGAGGCAGGCACGGGGTGGGGAGGCACTGCACAACCCAGCACAATCCTCCGAAGTGTGAGAATACCCTGACAAGCCCAGTTGGCAAGTGCCGCAGTGTGCACACAGCCTAGCCTAGCAGCGGGCGAGGGCGCCATAGCCGATGCACGCTGGCGGCGCTTGCGCTCGGTATGTCACCCTGTCAACCTGTCACGCTGTCACCCTGTCACACGATATGCGACATCGGAGAGGCGGGCCGGTGGCAGGGCGCCCCACCAAAGTTGGCCCGGAGACCCGCGTCGCATACGCGGGCAGATTCGAATTGGGGCCAAGGCTGCTCGCAGTTTTAACGCCGAAGATTCAAAACTGCAAATGGGAACTGGATGCCGGTTGAATGTCACCAACCACTTTTAACCGCATGGAACCAAAGCAACGCGTGGTCGTTCAGCGCGGGAGCTTTGATGTCGTTTAGGACAAGAGATGAGAGAATCTTCACTACAAAGAGCCAGATTTCAAAACAATTATTGGTCACGGGCACACACCAGGATAGGCTCATGATAAGGATTTACATTTTTATGCACATGAAAAAGAAAATAAGCAAGGCGGTTGTTTACAAATAATATCCTTTAATGTGACCAAGAACCCCAATTTTGAGGAATTTACAAACGTTAATTTATGTTTATGCATACAACTTAAAGGGCTTCAACACGAGCATTTTTCAACATTTTCCAACGTAATTGTTCGACACTTCTGGCCAACGACAGCTCATCCCAACACGACGGTGAGGCTGTGGAGGGCCGGGGGGGGGGGGGGGTGTGCAGCAAAATGACACAGCCGAGAAAGCGCCCCGACTGAGTGGAAATCTGCAGCCACAGAGATTCATCGAACGAACCAATCGTGTTTAAACAGAGCAGCGGGTTTCATAATTAGCTGCAATGCACTACAATGACACTATTCCCAGGCACTTATTTGCAATTACAACTTCACACCCAGTGGAGCCTTGTCCAATATCGCGGCATTAGGCAAAAGGTTCTCTATAAGATGCTGCTGCAAGTAGCACGTTGCCCCAAAGCCTTACATCATATCAGCTGTGCTTCGGCTTAAATCTGAACATTTAAAAAAAGATTTAAGGATGAATGACATCCCGCTTTAAAAAGCAATCAGCAGGCCTATTTAAGATCCCAGCAACAATGGCAGGACATTTTGTAACCGATTTTATAAACACAGCACTGTTAATGCCGATTAAAGAGGTAACAAGCCGAACCATAAGCAGTTGCATAAGCTAGCCAAGCATGTGACCTGATGACACTAGCATTGCAACACTCACCATAATGGGTAAATTCCACACGTTAAGAATTAGTCTTTGGTAATTCTCAGTTTTCGTAAAGCACCATGGCGATGAACACATTGCCATGCTGGCGAGAGGAGAAACACCAAACCAGTCACACCACTGGAGAACAAGATTCCGAATTCATGAAAGCATTGTATGAACTTCTTTCGCACCGTACCTTGACAATCGTGCTAATCGGAGGTGTGGAGGAAGGACAACTTCAGGCAAGTGGAACAGATTGTACAGGTTAATTTGTACTTTTTATCTTAATTATTAAAACTGACAGAGAAGTCTACAAGAATAGAGGGAAGTGCTGTTGCAGAGGTTTGTGCACTGCACTATGAGCCCGGCACCCCGAGTTCAATTCCCGGTCATAGCTTACATCACTGATTGATGGATGAGTTCACCTTATATCATCCTGCCATTTCACCAAATCAAACTTACCAGATTGGTAAAGTATGGGAAAACAACCCTTCAAGTATGTGTCATGAACTTCTTTCGCACCGTAGGTAGCCAACCACGCTGATCAGAGTAATTATCAGTTACTCAGGACTGACACATCACAGGGGAGGCCTTCATTCAGCAGCAGATTGAACAAGGGCTGTAAATGATTACTGTTGTATTGATGAATCGGAAATAAAGTAATGCCTGTTAAGTAACACTCACAGTGATACAAGCCAAAATAATAACTGTTTATTACACACAATGGCCTTTTAATCTACGCAAGATCAGAACTCTTGCTGTCCGAATCACGCTGTTCCATATTGAAACAACACAGGCTTCGTGTTCGGGGGAAAAAAAAATCCTTTTATTTAGATCTCTTTATGAACCCACGAACCCAGCAAGGTACCAACACACACACACAAGTATATTACATGACAACAATGTGAACACTGCTCTGGACAACTCGCTGCGGGGAAATCTTTCGGAATGGCCTTTGAAAACGTTACTTCTTTTAACGTATTTGACATCCTTGTAATTATACAAATGATTTTTATGTCGCAACCTTATCCGAGTTAACCCCACGATGTCATACCGCCGCCCCCCCCCCCCCCCCGAGCCCCCCCAAGGCAAATCATCACGAGCTGGCACAGATATGCTTGTCGAGTTCTACGCCACGGTATAATTTACGTTAAAAAAAAGAAAGTTACGTGACCTTCTCCGCACCCCCCACCCCCCCCCCGCTCCAACGCGCCACCGGGGGAGGGGAGGCTACTTCTTCACCCCGACGCTGCTCTTCTCCTCCACGTACTCCAGGGCCTTTTGCCGCACGCGCTGTACGGACGCGGCATCGCCGTGCTTGCGCTCGTAGTCCAAGTAGCGCTTGAAGAAGAACTTCATCCGCTTCGGCGAGAAGTTCATGTGGACGACGCGTTCGAAGACGGCCCTGCACGGCGAACACGACGCACGTGCGCGCGCACGCAAACCATGTCATCGCATCGCTACACCTCCGACAAGAGCACGGTTGGGCGACGCACGGTGCGACACAAGTTCAACATGCATACGGACGGTTAAGCCCAGGTACAGAATCAAGGCGCGGCCCTGCAAATTGTTGGCTACCGCAACTGGTGGCGGAAAGGGCTTCCACTGAAGCGAGGGTGCTCTAGGCAGCCCCCCCCCCCCCCCCCCCCCCCCCCCCCCCCCCCCCCCCCCCCCCCCCGGATGGTGTTTTGGCCTACTCTTCCACGCTGCCCAGATGCCGTGAAAGTGGTGAGAGTGCCCACATGGCTATACCCCATGGCACGTGACTTGCCGATCAACTAACTTTGGTGGAGCCATTTCTACTGCAGGATGGACAAGAGGGAGGGAGGGAGGGGCGGAGGGTGGGGGTGGAGGGAGGAGGGACATTCAACGACGTTAGAACGGATTATTTATATGTGACATCCATATGTCGTGCTTATAAGCACACATCGCAATGTTGCTGCATGTGAACGAGCGGTCATGTGATATTTGGGGTACGCGAGGGGGTGGTATGTAACGTGCACCACGAAACTGAAATGCAGTTCTTGTTAATTTTGGAATAAAAACTACGAGTTTTTGAAAGAATACGTTTTGGAAAGATTCGTATTAAGAAACTCTCAGATTTGTAAGCTGTTGCAGAGCAGTTCAAAGTAACATTGCACTTAAGAGGTATGGCTGTAGTTAACGGAGCCAATACACGCTGGGCAGTTTTGAATGTCACTGGCAAGATGCTACCACTGCAATCAAATAATATTACACATACCCAAAGCCAATCTGAGTGCAATGTCACAACAGCAGCCCACACCCATATCGTCACCACGGATGTGTGGAACGATGATAATGCCATCACAAAGAAACTCCATCACAGAAACAGAAATAATGACCGGCGATGATGAAAGGTGAATGTTTTACAAGAAGGTAATCTTAAGGTGGGCCACAGCCTACTTTTCAAATTATTCTTGCTTTAAACATTTTTGTTTCAGAATTTTTGCTCTTGGAATGAAGCGAGTTGGTTGCAGGAGTATGTACGCACTAAATAAGCACAAGGTAAAGGTAGGGTACGTGTACCCAATTATGGAACACGCTGTAAAACTCCCCACAGTTTATATCTGCACTTGCGTTCGTGATCCCCCGTGTCCCTGTGAAGCCCGATTCTCCCGTTTAATCAAATTAAATTTACACTGCTTCCTTGCAAAAAGAGATGATTGCTCTTAACACCTTTTTTCTCATTCCGAGACAAATGCGAGTTGCAGGGTGGGTCCCGTTCACCGCTGAATCTCAGAACGCACAAGCGGTTCAGCGTTAATTTTATTTAGAGAGGGATAGCGCCGTTGTTTTTAAAGCCATTGTACATAAGGCAGGGAACAGCAGCGACACGACCGCACTCTATGATAGCTGGCTCCAAACAGTGCCACACACGCCCTCCCGCATGGCCTTGTGGGAGCCTTGGAACTGATAGTTATTTTTTTCTTCCGGTTCTGTCCCGATGACGTACACGGACGTCATCAGGACAGTAAATGGTTAACAGGATCACAAATGGCTAACTAATGGCCTGACTGAAGCAGTCCAGAATTATTCTGCATACACAAATGCTGTCAGACAGGCCAATGGACTGAAATGTAATTAAACATTTTTGCAGAGGGACAACCTCCTGCCTATTTGATACCCACAATCCTTCATGAAAGCGCATCATAATTTTTTGGTTATTTACATGATAATGCCAAGTAGCATACTGATGTGTCTTAAGAAGAGAGTTTTAAATCAGTGCATACTGCTGGCTTTGACATAGGAAACGGAAACATGGACACTGATAAACGAAACGGAACACAAAAGCTGAACAGTGAACAAAAAAGCATGGAGATGAACATGCTAGGAATTGCATGGATACACAGACAAATGGATCAGGGAAAAAGACAAGAGACATCACATTGACAACGCCTAAAAGCAAAATGGAATTGGGCAGAACACAGAGAAGAGATGACGCCCGACGGACCAGGCTTGTGAAAGAATGGCAGCCAAAGATGAGAACGCATCCAAGAAACAACGACTGCGGAGATGGAGCCTGAAAATCAGTTCAGCTGCAGGAGACGGAAGAGGTAGCAGCACTGGACCGTGAGGACCGGTAATGGGGTGGGAAGGCCTTCATCCAGCCGTTGATACACCATGACTGAAAATTATTGCCCGACAGCCTGGGCGTTGCGCGCTGGAACAAAGCATTCCATCTTTGCGCGTGTCGGTGAGCGGTGTGCGTGTGAGAGGAGGGCGCTCGTGTTAATCACTTGCCGGATCTGCTGTGCGGTGCCATGCTTGGCCAGCATGTCAATGTAGATTGACCAGATGTCCGTGCGCTTCGGGTAGCTGCTCAACGTGTTCTCAAACACGGCCACTCCGTGCTCCACTTCACCCGAGCGGAAATCAAGCTGCGCGAACTTCACGATCACGTCCACATCTGGGTCAGGTTCAGGGAGGTGGTGGGAGTTGAGTGGGTGGACAGAAGACAGCATTAATAAATAACAGTTCAAGCAACACAGCAATGTGCACTTTAGGAAGAATCGTCATTGAAGATGATCTAAACAGGGGCACCGATCGGAATCGGAAATCTTGATTTAAGAAGCTCTTTTTCACAGATGTTCAGTCGGGGCAGGTCAGCAAGTTACAGCAAAACAATACAAAAAAAAAACGATACACGAGTGCAAAAGAGTAAAGGTTAGCAGGTCATGAAAAATACATCAATACATAAATAAAGTATATAAGTACAATTTGCCTAAGCACATGTATTCCTGACAATTTTTCAACGTGAAATGCAAGGTAGTGGGCAAGGCAGCTAAACAACAACAAAAACAGTCACAGACCACACCAGGATAAATCAGTCTCCATGCGCCCGATCCATTGAGACCTTGGGAGCTCAGCGGATTTGAGCCTGGATAGTGTGTGGATGGGTGACCACGGTGCACAAACAGGTTGTCAAAGGGCTTGCGGCCCAACGTGGAGGCTGGTACAAAAATGATTGCGCTGGGCTTGTAGACTCTCATTGTTGAAGCTCCCCACCTTCACCGACACGCACTGACCAGGGCGAGGGCGGCGTATGGTCAAACAGCCCCCCACGTGCCGTGAAAGGGCAGCGAGGCACACATTTAGCAGTGGGGACTGACAAATGGTCATGTACAACAATCAAGTGGAAGAAAAGCAGATACTTGTAAAGTCGCCGAATGTAAATGTGATGCATTTCATTACGGCGATTTTAACAGCCACAGCCTGTTTGTTTATTTCTTCCGTTCTGCAAATATACATTATTCATCCACGTAATATACCTGTAAACGTAATGTTGATATCGAACGGAAGCTATTCATGTCTAATTGTGACTTTCGGAAAGTCTATTAAATCTTGACTTAAAGCTTTCACGACTGCAGGAATTCATATGTTTTGGGTCTTTCGAGAAAGCCACGTAGATTAAAATAATAATAAAATAAATAAAACAATAACATCACGACGTTTCGATCGCAACATGAGCAATCGTCATCAGGTGAAAAATATATCGGGAGAGCTGCTGAGGCAGGAAAACTATATGGCGGGAGCGCTGCTAAGGCTGGGTGTTATAAAACCGAAACCTTTAGAACACCCTGCCGCCATAGCAGTGCTCCCGCTATATTTTTCACCTGATGACGATTGCTTGTCGTGATATTGTTATAATTTTATTATTTTTCTATCTACGTGGCTGTACCGAAAGACCCAAAGAATAGGAAAGTCTATTGGCTGGCGCTTGTATTTATTTTAATATCAAGATATGAAAGTTCGCTTTTTACCCAAAAGCAAAAATTAGGGGGGGGGGGGACTGCCAATTACACCAAGCCACAACTGCTCCCTGTGAACGCCCACGACATCACAACCTCCGCACGGCGACCTCATCATGCCTTACAGACCACCCAACAACAGATTTATGGCGAGATGGAAGCTTGCAATGAGTCACTCAACCAGCAAATCGAGTAAAGAATGGATTATTTGTCTCAATTTTGACATCTCCTTTTGTATTCTTTGGTTTTATTTGTACGGTTTTATTTGCTTTATTTACCTACTACCAATAATAATGAACACAAATTAGTTTAGGGAAAAAGAAATACCTTCACAACCAGTGGAAATAAGACTCGGTGCACATGCCAAAGGTTCTACCGGCAAAACTAAACAAATGTATTGAAGATCATAAGAGCAAAGGCAGAATCCTCCCAAGCCATTCCAAATGGCTGCCTTGTTTCATGTGGATGCAGAAACCGAAGCGCACACAATGACCTATTTTAGGATGATTAATTCAGAAAAGCCTGGTTAAATGTTACCAGTTAATGCTGACACGTGGTTATTATCGTATCAGCGACGATCAAACCATGTGCTGGATGAAGGCCTCTCCCCTCCCCCGCTATCAATAGACTTAATCGTAACAAGTCGAGCAAAAATAAATCGACACCAAAGCGCGTGGCGGCACTCGCCCCCTCCTTGTTTCAACCGGTACAATGCATCCAGTCGCATGTTAAATCATGCAGCATTGCTTTGCTTTCCCTCCTTCCCCACAAAGACCCCGTGCGTTATCACCATCCCGGGCAGCTCTTGCACAGGGGCGGTCCCCGCCACCTCGGCTCGTCGTGTACAGTAACACTAGAGAAGGAGCAGCGGCAATGGACACGGCGCCAATTGAGACCCCAGGCACGTTGCTCACGTTATAACCGTCGCCGTCAAGTTCCAAGAACAGAAGCAAATGCGAGCAAAAAAAAAAACAACCCAAGAGATTATTTTTAAGCAACGCGACGCCTTGACGGCATTGTTTACCGCTCGCTGCCAGTGGCGGTGTTTGCCGATGACACTGCGAGCTGAGCGCGGCGGTCGAGCTGATGGGAGATTTGAAGGCTTTCCTGCCATTGTGTGACGTGCGGTGGTAAAGACCCCCCCCCCCCACTCCCCACACTGCTCCCAAGTGCTCTGAGCAAGCGGTTCGGATTGTGTTTTCTATCTCTGCCAAGGACCCTTTGGTTGAGGTCACTCGATGGTACGCGAACCCATGCCAAACACACACAAATGCACCAATAAAACCATTACTTACTCGTTAGTTTAACATTGATTATAAAACGATAAATTAAAGCTGCATGGGGGGGGGGGGCGATGAATTGTTTCTTTGTATGCAGGAAACAGCGTCTCCTTTTAAGCCCAAAGCAAAGAGAACTGTCAATGAGCATTCAGATGAAAATGGAAAATCACGAGGGGTGGTGGTTGTGTTAACCCACGTGCAGTTTAGTCCAAGTTGACGTAAGCGTGGCCCCTACAGCAGAAAGATACCAATAAAACCAATGACAACCAAAGCCAAGATTCCAATAACTGTGGCTTACATCCTTGCACGAAGTGCATCTGATGAGAGGCCGAAAAGTAGGACTGAAAGTCACGCATTTTAGTTGATGGTACAGCGAATGAGGGCACTAAATCCCAATACCCGCCATTCGCCACTAAGTGATGGTGACGTCACCACAGCGCCTGTGCCAGGCTAGGTGCACTTTGAGGCCACGTGAAGTGTCGAAGGGCTCGCTGACAGGCCTCCAGACAGACCCACGTACCATGGGTTGGCTGATTGAGATGACTGGTAGATGCACCAGCTGTACCCCACTAAATACACCCATGCACACAACGTTTGCATTCCCTGTGCTCATCAAGGGCTCACGAAAAAATAAATCATTAGGTCAACAAGAAACGACAATGATGAATAGCCTTCAACACATGGAAGTGTCAACATCTCATCTGAAAACAAAGCTGCAGTTGCTGCATCAGCATTTATAAGCAAATATCTAAATCACAAGGACGTACAACATTGCAAAGCCAGAAAGATGCATATGGCGTGGCGCAGGCCAAATTTGTCAAGTAAAAATTTCATCTTGCCTAGAAAACCATAGGATTTGTAAATATTCAATACGTAAAAACATGTTTTGAGTGTGATAAAAGGTTATTTTTTGTTTTCTAACATAAACAAAACTCCTAAGGAATGTTGGCAATTAAAACTAATAATGCTCAGATCTGCTGTCACGTCGTGACTCACGACAATAAGCAAGTAAAAGTTGGTTTGTTACAATCAAAGCATGGACCATCGAGCCAGAATGCTTCTCCGAGCGATGTCAAATGCTCTTAGTCCCCCCTCTGCAGGAGAGGACGCCGCCCTCACCCGCCAACAATCTACGGTTCATGGTGAACAAATCAGTATACAAATGAGGGCACCGCGATGTATTTCAACCTCCAGGGGTTGTGGAGGGGGGGGCCGAACGAGTGGGAAGTCAAGCATGTACTTTGTGTGTGCGTGTGTGTATAGGCGTGTATTCAAGGCGACAGTAATGGTTCGCACACGCTGCGGTACCAACATGGTAACACGAGTTTTTATATTCCCTTGCACAACTAACATCGGTGGCGAGTGAATATCTGAAACGGTCCCTGGGCCTCGCATAGTCTGACGAAGCCATAAATGAGTATCTGGCTCCATGTGCTAAGATCATCATTGGGAGACAAAGCAGCCGGATGTGGTGCTCGTGACACCAACCACAAGTGCTCACTGTCAGCACTTGCCCAAGCAGTCTGTAAGATTACATGGAGGTCTTTGTCTTAGTGCATTAAAGAAACAGACCAGAAAACAAACAGCTTTTATCTTGGAGGTACTCCTCAGCTGTAAATCCCGTGCTTTCTCACATGAGTCAGAAGTTTCGGCAGTGAGAAATTTAAATTATGGCCAGGAGTACCATTACAGCATTCTGGTGACATCACTCTTCAAGAATTACATTTTACAACGCGGTTATCCCAATTGGTGACAAACAGATGCCAACCAGTGAGATTAAAAAGCAAATTCAACGAGACAGGAGACCTGGAGACAAAAGGAACACAAAAGTGATTATATGCAGAGACGATATGAACTCACAAAGCCGTATTACATATAATTATCGAAGCAATGAACTCATGCCGGATAGTGTTGGACACTGCCTAGGAAGGTAGCTGTGATAAAAATCGCGTTTTTCTTCTGGGTTAGATCTTTCTAAACGCGAGACCGCATGGAGGAGTGGTAGTGTAACGGTTTGCGCGCTGCGCTACGAACCCGGCGACCAGAGTTCAATTCGCGCTCACGGTCGACACCAGTGACGATTATTTGAACCGGTCCTGGGCATCTACTAGGTCGACTCCCCCTCAAATAAGTACCTGGGTGTGGTGTGTAAACATCGCCACTAAGGGGACAAAAGCGGTCGGGCGTGGTTGCTGGCCACCCCACCTCTTCGTGTGCCATGCCGGCCTTCAATAGGTGCTCGCTAACAGCACTTGCCTCGACAGCCTGCTACAGCCTATACGGGGGAACCGGTTTGCCTTCGTGTGTGCGAGCGTACGTTCTCGTTCGGGCAGGCTCTTGAGCGCGCGCTGCATGAGGCGGCGGGCCGAGTCCGTCTGTCCGCGCTGGACCAGGAAGCTTCCATAGGCCAGCCACACGGCCTTCTCCTGCCGGAACCGGCGCAGCATCTTGTTGTAGAGAACGTCGGCTTGCTGTGGCACCCCACGGTGGACACAAGGAGGAGGTGCGGTTAGCGCCGAGACGCTCGCAAAGCAGAGTGGTAACAACGCGCTCGCCCCGTGCTCTTTACTTAACCCGGTTGGCAAAACACAATAGAGAGATGCATAAGCACAGCCCTTAATTCGATGATATAACTTGTCAACAATTTTTTTCATCAATTAAGTGGACCCAATAACACCGAGTCGCAAATAGTTAATGATAATTATAGGGCAGCTAAATGCAACTGCATTTCAATGTGCTGAAATACCATATGTAAAAGTTCTTGTGCATGTACAGCATATATATGTACATCTCGTTTGTCAATCCACTGTTGGATGATGGCCCTCCCAATGCCATGCGGGTCATGGGGTTATATGACCATACTTCACCACGAAATGTTTTTGTATTCTTGTAAGTTGTCGAACATCTCGTTTGTCAATCCACTGTTGGATGATGGCCCTCCCAATGCCATGCGGGTCATGGGGTTATATGACCATACTTCACCACGAAATGTTTTTGTATTCTTGTAAGTTGTCGAACTTATTTCGCACCGTACGCTGCCAACCGTGCTAATCGGAGGTGCGGGCCATCCTTCTTAAAAATACACATTTATTTTGCTTTGCAGTGTGTTTGCGACTGCGGAAAATGTGCAACGAAAATGTTCATCAGCAGAGTATTACACGTTTTCGCCGCTCGCAGTTTTTAACCTTCGTTACCTGGAACTTGTCCGAGCCAATGTAGATCTGCGCGAGATGCCGGAACGCCTTGAGCGCGTCATTGTGCTGCACAGCACGCTCGAACGCGCGCATCAGCGAAGCCTCGTCCCCGTACAGATTCTCCAGGTTCAGCAGTGCCACCCACACATTCAGCTTCTCCTGCTCCTCTCTGTAATACATTTCAAGTACAAATGTTTTCATTACACCGGGCAAGAACTCAAAAGAAGAGCGATTGATCTGTAACCGAAATGACAAAATAAAAAAAACTAGGAAAGTATAGCACAGCGATGAAGCAAATGGAAATCGGCGCAAAAACAACTATGCCACGTGAGAAAACATTAATAATGAATTATCATAAATCAGTGTTAAATAATTAATTGCCTTTGGCATAGGTCGGCCCTGGCAGATTATTTTCAGACTGATCACAGTAAAGCACAGCATTATTTTTTAACATGTTAATGATATGTTGAGATTCAGAAACTCAAAGAGAGAGTAAAGCCACGATGAACTCGGGTTCTGCGCACACGGTTGGCATCAACGCTAATGAATGGGCCAAGTGGACGGAGCTCACAAGGATCCTAGTGGAAATCTCCGCATGCCATCGCTTTTCATATTTTTCCCCCATTTATATTCTGTCATTAAAGGCTTCACCGTGATTAATTTTGTTGCGGAATCTCGAAATGGCCTTTAGGCACTTCGTAAATTGCAATAAAAAAATTCAATCGATTGCAAAGCCCACGATGCAAGCATTTGAAGTGTGTGCATGAGAACAGACATGCTGCTGCTATGCATACCCTGGTTTTCGTGGCCACTCGTAATACAAGTCAAGTTTCATGGTTCAGGCCACACATTTAGCATTTATTTTCACAAGGTGTCATCGTGCACAACTCTGCAGGCATCTTCAGGAGTTGAAGCACGTGGACTAACTCGGGGTTGCAAATTGTCAAATGCCCGTTCGTGCATTATTTTCCACAACCAAAATATCATCCTTTGGATAAAGCAGCCCCCTGCCACGAGACTCCGGGGGGGCCTGCCGACTCTTGCCCATTTCCCTTGAAAAACACGGTTGGACAGGAAGAGAGAGAGAGAGAGGACACGGCCAACCTCGACTTGACTCCACATCCCGAAGGGCGCACTAGTAATCCCGCGCACGATCCCGGTCAGCCGCTCACCTGAAGGAGATGGTCTTGAGTGCCCGCTCCGCCACGGCGCGGGCCCTGTCCACCTCGGTGGCCTGCAGGTGGAACGCCATGTACTGCAGCCACACGAGCGAGCTGTTGGGCGAGCTCAGCGCCAGGCGGTCGAAGTCGTCGACCGACTGCGGCACGCGCGACGGGTCGGCCAGCCGCGCCTCCAGCTGCTCCAGCTCCTTCTCCTCGCGCTTGCGCTCGGCGAAAGCCTCCTGCCTGTTCTTCCGCTGCTTCTTCTTCTGCTGGCCCTGCTCGAGGGGTGGAGAGATCCGCCGTCGGGCAACCACACACGGGAGACGACCCAGGTTATTCCCTTAGACCAGGGGTGGGTAACCGATGGCCCCCGTGGGCTGTATCGTTTCACAATCTATAGTTATTATGAATCTATATTTGTTTTAGGGTGAGGCCACATGGTAGTTTTATGCTACAGTTCTTGTAATTACCCACCCCCTCCCACCACCAAACACGATTATCAGGTTTGCAGGTATTATTTATAAGCACCAATGATTTATCTTGACTAAAATGTACGTCAAAATACGACGTTTCACTGAAACTGCTTTGAGCTTCATCAGCTAATGAAACTCGGAAATAACGTGAGGCTGCCTCATCTGACTGTGCTTCAAAAGTACCTGCTGTGACAACACCCGACTGCCAGAGCGTGGGTCCGTATACTGGCATCATGATCCCAGGTTGCTGCTGGGATCATAATGCCAATATATTTACACATCTCTAAAAGTAACTGCAGTGTTTGCCCTTGAGTTTTTCATTCATCTGCTCGTCGGCATTTTAGTGATTTACCGCTGCGTCGCTGTCATCCTCGTCGTCGCTGGTGTCAATTCCGCCTCCCCCGTTGTGGGCTCCCAGAATGCCCGTTTGAAGGGAGGCGAGAGAGGCGTCCCAGCTGAAGGAGCCCGGCGCCTGCAGCCGCTCGAGGGAGGCTGCGCCGCGCTCCGCCTTTGCGCTCTTGCCCTGCGCGCGACGACGACAACAAGGTCAAGAACGTCGCCGTTGCAAAAGCCTAGCGACGCCACCACACCCTGCAAATGCCCATCTCCCGTCCACCACATCCCGCAGCTGCAAGACGGCAGACGCGTAATAACCTTCAAGGCCCGCCGCCTTCAGAGTATCCCGCCACCTGGATTTAGTCTTCCCGTTCATCGCAACTCACGGCGGTGACAGCGGAGTTTGATTAGTAGCACGGGAGAAGTCTCGCCGAGCCTCGTGACTCCTCGTCAAGGGAGTCTTGCATGGGGTATGTGAACAAATGGCTTTTGAGGGTATTTTTCTTCTTCGGATATGGCATCTGAAACATCCACATATGTATGTATGTATGCCAAACGCATTTCTCAATCAATAGTAATGTATTTTATGCCATTAAAATGGGTCGTGCTGCGAGCTGTTGGATGGAAAAACGCCGTCTCCAACTAAAAGTTAGTCTCCTGCTTTCTTTTACATTTTTGGTTCTGAAGAAGACATTACATCAAATGTTAGCTTTGTGTGTATATATGTGTCAGCACCTGGACATTCCCCACCACAACAACTTCACCTTACGTGCAGGTATGCAGTCATGAATAAAAGACCACAATGGAAAAATAAGCAGAACACCATGCAATGTTTCCACATACAAATAAAAAAACGAAATAGCTCGTCAATCCCACTTTTGGCCTTCCAGACCAATATTAATAAGCAGCATTTGTTTAATCAAACAAAACTCTGGACTGGTTTCGACCTTCTGGCTATCATCAGCAGTCAAGGTTTGTTAAACAAATGACGGATTACCACGTGTTTTTTTTGGCAAGAGCACTCCATGCAAACTATGGAACCTCTGTTCAATGCAATTGCTTTTACCCAACAATGCTACACGGCGGTGCGTTAGCGAGTTTGTGTACTGCACTGCAAACCGATCATGCGTGGGAAAAAGATGACGGCGAAATTAAAATATACATTTTGAGATTTAAAAAAAAAAATCAACATTTTCAAACCTTCGTCTCGGTTTCACTGTCATCCCTGCCCTCTCGGAAGTAAATCTCAACGCCGCTGTCCGTGCACTCCTCCGCTTTCTCCGTTGCTGTTTTCCTCTTTTTCTTCTTCTTTTCCTTGAAGAATACACAAATCATCGTGTCAATTGCACAATCAGTAAGTTAAGAGTGATCAGTCTAATCGAACCTACGGTACCACGCCTTCTTATATTAGTTTGCTTAAAACAAGGCACATCTCATATTTGAGATATATATATACGTATCTAACTAGCCTGTGGATACCGGGGCTGTTTGGCACGAGCTTGCAGCTTCATTAATGATAAAAAAAGACTTCAACATCACAGTCAGGCATTCTGCCAGAGCACTCAAATGTACATCATTGCACGCATGTATAAAAACACACAGGTGTCGTCACAAGTGATGTCATGAAGGGGCTATAACGACGCGTTTTTGACAAACGTCGCCTTTTCCTCCACTTGGCAAAGCTTAAAAATGTTGTGCCCGACAGTCTGTGGTGACACACAGCCAAAAAAACAAATCACACAAGAGCCGTTGGTCGTTTGGGCTGCATCTCCCCTTTTAAAGCTTCCGTGCAAGTCGCACTGCCTGCACACTCCGTAGCAACGCCACCGACTCGACTTTCTTCAATCCCCTCGCTCGGGGTTTGGCCGAGCGTGGGTGCACGGCCTTCACCTCAGGGACCGGCTCGGCGGTATCCGCCGCCGCCTTCCTCTTGCGAGTCTCGTCTTTGTTGTCATTGCTCCTCCACAGCCTCAGCCCTATGGAGCCCGGGAACAAGTCCTTGCCTCCCGTGTCGTTCGGCAGGGAAGACAGCTCCACCCTCTTGGTCTCCGCGTCGACGCTGCAGTGCGGAGGGGTAAGACGCAAAGCCGTCAAAAAAATATATATACGCGCTGAAGATCCTGTGGCGTTATTCGAAAAACTCAACCAAGCTAATTAAATGTTATTTCTATTTTACCAAGTAAGGCCCACTGAGCTATACAGCTATTTTCCAGAAGCAACATGGACACAAATAATAGCTCAACCAAGTGGCTTATCACGTGCAAATTGATTGCAGCCAAATACTATAAATGCATATTTCTAAATGTGGAGGGAAAAACCGGAGGATCCGGAAAAAAAATCCATGTGACCACTGGGAGAACATGCAAACTCCAAATATACCGGCGTCAGGGTCCGGATCAAACCCATGACCTCCTGGAAACCAGGTGGGGCACCATGGCGCCGAAAGAGTATGCCATGGGTGCCGAAGTCAGTACAATTTTTTTTTACTCTGCGGGCACTTTGTAAATCCATTGCTGATGGCCAAATTTGGAAAGTTAATCATGTAATGCGTTCTGGCAGCGGGGTTGCTACCACTGTTGGCTTATCAACTATTACCTTGTGTTGTCACGACCCGCTTCGGAACACGCTTTTAACTTTGAAGCCCTGACTGATCATCTGTTAAAAAAGAGCTTTATAGCTCACCGGATTCCTCCAGCATAAATATTATGATTCTGACTGAATGGAATCCAATACATTAAAAAAAAGGAAAATCTAAAAATTGTTGGTAAATTGTGCCAAATTCTCCAAACTCAACATCCAGTTAAAAAAAATAAAAATGTATAATTTACAGTTCATTACCAATGTAGGCTCTCCCATGCTGTGTGAGTTGCAGGGATTATTACGGTTATTTAACAAGGAAAGCTCCACTGAGTCTCAACTCTTTTTCATCCGAGTCCTGCCAAGCTTTTGCAGCAGGGGGCGGTGATTGCTATGTATATTGAGTAAGCTTTGACCATATTTCACCACGCTGGTCAGTGCAGGATATGCGGAAATGGGCAACACAGACGTGGGAGCACAGAAGTACGCGACAATAGATTTTGCTGCACTGAAAATTGCACACACACAACATGACCCTGCAGCTTATAGCACCTGTTGTGCAAGGTGGTGGCCCATCCAAGTGCTATCCAACCCCTCCCCCTTAATCTCCAAAATCAGGTGCATTCCTGATAGCTAATACAATCATTACCAAACTATAATTACCTTAGATAAAAATAAATATTTGGCAATCCTGCGTTGGCAGTGGTACGCAAGCACAAATTACAACAAATAAAACATTCCTTAAAGGAAAACTACATAAATTAGGCAATGTCTGGCATTTGGAAATGTTAAATGATGCAAGTGTTTAGATTTAATTTTATCATATTCCTAAGATGATTGTAGACCAGGTAACATTGTTATAAACCAGGCAATACTTAATTTACAAGAGTACTAAGATTGTTTGCTATTGTATTGGCACATGCATACACTAAGACTTCAATGGAAACATTACCTGAGCACTTTCACAGAGATGAGCCGGCCCTTGCGAATGTACCTCTCCATGAGTGAAGAGCCACTTACAAAGTACTTGGACAGGTTGCGGAGTGAGATCCGGCCCATCACGCACCACGACAAGCTGATCAAGCGACACAAAGACAAAGATCACTCGCTTAGCCTAAAAACAGACTTTTGGGACAGGTGTTGTTAGCGAGCACTTATGAAAGCCAGCACAGCACAATGAGGGTGGGTAGCCAGCGCCAGGTCCGGCCACCTATATCTCTCCCCTGTGCTGATGTTTACACACCGCACCACGTCGTCATTTTAGGCTGAGCCAACCTAGCGGAAGCCCAGGTCTGGTTTAGATAATCGTCACTGGTGTGGCCATGAGTGGTAATTGAACTCGGGTGGTTGGCTTCGTAGCGCAGTGCGCTAACCATTGTGCTGCCGCTCCCCACACAAAAGACAAAGGATTCCCCGTATAGCCGTAACATAATGTTTGGACTAGTGCTGTTAGCGAGGACCTATGAAGGCCGGAATGGCACACGAGGGGGTGGGTGGCCAGCACCACGCCTGGCCGCTTTCATCTCCCAAGTGGCAATGTTTTTAAACATCGCACCAGGAACTCGGTTGAGGCTGTGTCGACCTCGGGGAGGCCCAGAACCTGTTCAGATAACTGTCACTGGTGTTGGCCATGAGCAGGAATCGAACTTAGGTCGCAGGGTTCGTCGTGCAGCGCGCTAATGCTACAGGACCGCTCCCCACACACACCGAAGCACAACGCAATGAAGCACACCATGGATTAAGTCGTGAGAACAAAAACTTGACTGCATGCAGGAAAAAATATTTCAAAACTAAGTGCCACCATCAACCTTGTGTCTGAGTATTGTCTTGCAAAGGTTAGCCTGAAGGGTACATCGTGCTGTTTGTGCAATAATATTTACGACTATAATAAAGAGAAATCATGCATTAAACAAAACATGTGTCTTTTCCTCTTTAAGATAACGCACGTGTTTTAATGTATCAGTTTTGAAGGAGAAATAGAAATTTCTCAACAAGAATGTCAAAATGTATGCTGTAATTCACGTGACAAAATAAAAATGTTGAGTGCACTTTTACACAAGCCCTTGGGTGGCTCCCAATAGGGTCCATCGAGTCACGTGCCCCAATCTTATAATCACAGAAAGAATGCTCACTTGACCAAGACTTGGTTGTTGACAATAGTGTGGACGTAGCCACGGACCACAGAGCCCACCGTGAGGTCCTCCAAAGATGACAGCTCCTTGTCCTTCACCTCTGCCTCTTCCTCGTCCGTCGGCGGGTTCACCCTAAGAACATCAACGTGGAAAAGCCCATTACTGCATTATGTATGTCCGTATGTTGCACTTATTTTGCACCGTAAGTAGCCAATCGTTCTAATCGGAGGTGTGGGGGCAAGGAAAACAAGCTAAACATAAAAATCTGTTCTAAAAAAACGAGTTTTCAATCTAGATTTCCAAGTGTATAGCTCCGGTGGCTCCCTAATATGGTGAGGAAGAGCGTTCCAGACGGCCGCAGAAGCGCACCTGAAAACCCTTTCGCACGTCGCAAATAAGGATTCCGCAAACGAGCCTCGCGACGAGCAAGGCTGTCTCAGACAAACAGAACGGGGTCAAAGGTGAGGCTCTCGTGGATGCGGAATGCTCGACCCCAATCTGGATACAGCCACATTAGCAAATGTGATTTGTACCGATAGTTCAAAGTTAATGTGCCGTCTTATTGAGGGACTACTGTGTGTTATCTTGGTGTGGTCTGGGACTGTTTTGTTGTTGTTTTTGCTGCCTTGCCCAAGCTTGATAAATCTGACTTATATAATGAAATAAGCAATCACTTATTTATTCATGTACAAGTAGTGACTTGCATACTTTGTTTCCTCTATTTTTCACTCATATCGCTTTTTTTATTATTGTTTGCTGTTGTAAGTTGCTGACCGACCCCATACTGGACACCTTGAAAAAAAGCTCCTTAGCTCATCGGATTTCTCCTGTCTAAATAAAGTTTCTGATTCCGATTTGGCCTCACCTGGAATCGCGCAGCGAGAGCATGACTCGCATCTTGCCTCCGTTCTCCAGCACATAGCACGGCACAATCTGTCCCACCTCGAAGGCGTCCAGGGGCTTCTGGACGAAGGAGTCGTTCAGATCCGTGAGCAAGACCCTGCCCGTGTGGCCCATCGGTAGCGACAGCAGCAGGCCGATGCCCGGCTGACTGCACTTCACGCGTCCCAGCGTTACAGTGCCAGGTGACAGCTTGTACACACCTGCGGTGCATCGCACGCAGAGACGGAGTCACTCACCCATGCGCTCGTTCACCGTTCTGCTTCAGCCTAAATGTGCATTGCTGTGCTGGCTAGTGGCTCCTGGGTTCAAATCTGGATTTCGGCCGAGAGGCTTTAATGAAGGTCATGTCTCGGTGCATTAAATTCTGGGTGTCATGATAGTTGTGTGCATGTGTCATGGTCTGCAGGGTGAACATACCAGAGAGTGAGAGACTGAGCGACTCCTGCTCCACCTTGCAAGCCACCACGGTGGCCTGCACGGCGCATCCCACACGAAACTTCTGCAGCGGATTGTCCAACACCTGCGTCGCAACAACACGAGGTTTATCCTATCAGTTTCATTACACGATCACATCAAACGCTGTCAATTGAGCTCCGAGTTCCTAAGATGAGGATGGCAAATTCATGCATCTATGCGTGTGCTAAATTTAACATCAAGGTGACAGTGCACCGAGACAAACCGGTTCCCCTTTTTAAGAGGGTACCGAGCCCAAACTAATACAGCAAACATGTGATGAAGGTCAACGACAAGTGTATGAAAACCTTACATTAATACAGAGAGGATTAATACCAATTAAACGTTGACATTTAAACAGAACTAAAGGTTACACTGAGATACATGTTTTCAAAGGGTTATCTTGCGCTATCAGTGGTTTGAAGGGCTGGGTTGTGTAACCAACCACCATGCCGTGTCCCTTTGCTACAACGGGCACTTGTTTTGTGTGAAACTGCGGTGGGAGAGGGCTACACGTAATGCACAGGTGAACTTCCACACCACCGAATAGCATGGTTGAATGAACAGAAATTGTTGACGGTTGTCGCCGAGCATGCGATGACGTACGTTTACCATCCCTGACACCATGACGAACCCCACCTCGGGTCATATAGAATTTTAGTTACAGCAGCATTGTTCGCCGAATTACAATTAGATTGTAATCATGTGTGCTGAACTTATTTCGCACCGTACGTAGCCAACCATGCTAATCGGAGGTATGTATGCATGTTTGTTGAACTTCTTTGGAGGTGCGGAGGAAGGACAACACAATCTGTTCTCAATTGTGATTGAGATTCAATATAAATCACGCAATTACAATTATAATTGACCCCAAATCTGCTGAAACTCCTTAACACGCACGCACAAGGGCGTAAGCAGATAAAACGGCGGCCAAGTGAGATTCCGTGCTGGCCGCAGAGCCTTGCAACAGCAGCAAAATCAATCGGCAGTGAAGGGGAACTAGCAGAGAGTGTGCACACCTTTGGCCTGTTGCTAATGAGGAGTTGCTCCACACGTCCACTGACCACGGCATTCACGTCCACCCACAGGGCTTTCCGTTCCTCCTGGTACTAAAAGGACGACGGCAATACAGACACGCCACCGATTACCGGTCACAGCCGAGCGACCACGGCTCTCGACGCGAACGAAGACGCATACACGATCGGCAAGACGCCAGGGAGAGGTTAACGTTGACGAAGCGAAGAAGGTGAAAAGTCAGTTCTCAGTTGGCAGGATTTCAATAGGCATAAAGTATATACAAGCAATTGGATGGCTCTGCATCTTTCTGAGCCTTTAGTTTACATTAGATCCATTTCCAAATCTGATGGAATGCTGATGCACAGACTCTAGAAAAAGGAAAACGAAATATTTACCATTATTGTTTCATTACATCGGGGAAAGCAACCGTGACAATTTGTCAGTTTTGAACTTTTTCCCGCTTTTGTTGGCATACCTTGTTGACAAAGCAGGTGATAGTCTGTCCAGGTTGGTATGACCCAAGACACTCCTTGACTGATGGGATGCAGAAGTCTTCCTTGTTATTACTGTTCAGTTTACTGCACAACAATGACAAATGTAAAAACATGTCAATCCAGAATGCAAAGGAAGCTATGAATACAAATAATTGATAAAAAATTTTTTTAAACATTGCTTCCATTAGATTGTAAATGTAATTTGTGATAATATTCTGCGGTTATATGATGGCATTTGACCTTACCTGGGTCTCATTGTGAGCTCTGGCAAATGTATTACTAAATTCTGATGCGTGATGGGTAAATATCTGCAACAAAAATAAAAACATTCCATTAAATTGCAACAGATTCTGGAAAGTAATTAAAATGCATCTAAATAATTCAAACCCCTTCCCATAAACTTCAGGTCATTTTAAGCAAATATAGATTGTGTGTGCATATACACAATTCTACTCCCAATTGTGATATTGCCATCACACGAGACAAAGTAACCATTTGAAACTATGGCGGAGCAACCACTCCATGTGGTTGAAAATCTGGCGGGGCCCAAGAAAGATTCCACAGAACGGCTACCGAAATCCCTTCAACACACATCGCTTAAGTGGAGCACTGTCAACAAATCCCTGTTATGGAGAAATGTCTGTATGGTCGTAAATTTTTTTAAAATTCTAAGTAAAAATGTAGCCAATTTAAGCAACAACAAAAACCCCCCACCAAATACACATTTAATATAATGGGGCTTTTTTTTGTCCACTCATCAGTAACTGGGCAGAGGCAATCGACTCATGACAATTGCACGAACACGGTTTAATCACAGGTGACTGAAACTGGATCCAAACCCAGGATATGTCAGTGGTCCCAACTGAGCACTCCGACCACACAGCCAACCCAGGCCCACACGTATTAACTAGCGGCTTCACGTCTCTCACACACACACACAAGACGACCCCCCCTCCCCCCCTCACTTGTGCGTCTTGATCTCCTGGCCACCAATCACTTTGACGGCAACCGTCTCTCCGGCCTTGAGCGACATCGTTGGCTTCTGTCCGGTCGTCGCCTCGTCCCGGATCTCCGACACGTGCACGCGGCCCATGACTCCACCGGGCAGGGTGACCATGGCGCGCAAGCCCCGCGATGACTTCACCGTGCCCTTGTAGACGTCGCCGAGCCGCAGGGCTCGACCGTTCACCGTGTACACTCCGTCGGTCACCTCGCCGCCCTCCTCGCTCACAGACGCCGTCCGAGCTCTCGTTCTGAAAGCGCCGTTGCGCAGGTGGCCGGAGTCCGGCGCGGCCACCAGGACACCATCGTGCTCCTCGGGGTCGGCGCACTTCACCACGACCTTGAGCTTCTCCCCCACCCTCAGCGAGCCCGAGTTGGGGCGCAGCATCTCGTTCAGGTGGTTGGCCAGGGGCAGGAAAATCAGGTGAGAGCTTTCTTCCAGCGACGCGACGGCCAGGTCGCTGCCGATGAACTGCACCGTGGCAAAGTAAACGAAGCCTTCGCGCAGCTGCGCAGAGGCGGAAGAGAGGAACGTGGGTAATGATTAAAATCGATTCTTATGCTCACAATACGAGCATCGAATCGAGTGCGTAAGGCGAATTTGTTATTTTAATAATATCCATACGTTGCATGTTCAAGTAACAAATGTGACGCAGCAAACATGACACACAGCACAGGAACAATAATGGTGAATAAATAAATATATATTACAGCCCTTTGTCAATCCACTGCTGGATAGAGGCCCTCCTACGCCATATCATGGTTTTTTGACCATTTTTCAAAATGCTTAGTGTGGGTTGGTAAGAGGGCATTGCAGGGTAGGACTGATCAGATACTACTCTCGTCAGATGTTAACCGTGGCTGGGAATTGAACCCAGTTCACTGGGCTTCGAGTGCAGTCGTTCCCCAAACAACTGCAAAACTGCCCCAACCCCACACAATAGAAACACAACAACAATAACCGATTCCAAATCGAATTGTTCTTCAAAAATGTGCAATTCATCAAATTCAGGAGGGGATGTGGCATTCATCGTTAACACCTCCTAAGCACCTAATAAAAGCGGACAAATTAATTGGTCATAAAAAAGGAAACATGCTGATGCCGAAAACGAGCTCGTAAAACAAGAGTGTTGATACATTAATGGCCACTGTAACATCAGGGAAACTTCAGTGGGAGCATTCCCTTGATAAGTCTAACGTTTTCTTGTTCAAGTACACTGACGTTTTGCATGACAAAAACAATGAATTACAAGCCGGTTTCATCCAAACAGAATTGCAATAAAGTACACACACACTTAATTTTGTTTATTAACAAATGGGTGGAGCAGTGGTTCGCGCTCAGTGCTCTCAGTCTCATTCCTGGCCACGGCTAGGAATGATATCGGAACTGGCCATCGACCCACACTGACCAGCATGATGAAATGGCCAAAGAACCCCCATAAACAACAACGCTGTGGGGGAGGCCTTCATCCAGCAGTAGATTCACAAAAGGACTGTACGTGTGCGAGGTTATGAGCTTAAGTTAATTCAACTTGCTCACAGAAAAAGTATGAGTGTATATTAGAAAGAATGCACCCACAGCCTGCAGGGCAAGTCAACTTAACACATTGCCTGCCTAAAATGTCTGCAAACCAGCCGAGCGGCACAGCAGCCATTATAACTACACCAGAGAGATCGCAGCATTCAGAATCCGCAAAAACCACGTGGCATTAACCCAACATGGTGGCTCCCAATATGGCCGTACCTGTATTTGCTTTTTTTTCTTTCGCTTGGGCAACAGCTCGGCCTTCAGGCTGACGTGCACCGTGGAGGCGAGAAAGTCCACAAACAGCACCCGAGCGGACACCTCCTGCCCCACGCTCAACTGCTGGCCTGCAAAAAAAACAGAACACACTGCACAACCCACCACACAACACATCGCGTCCACCAAAAACGCACTACCACCGCTAGGCCATGTCACCGCCGTATTCTGCAGGTGAACCGTACATTCATTAATCTTTAAGACAAGTTTTCCCAAAGGCCAGGTCTCACAATCCATCAACATTAGCATTTGCCAAATTTGCCAATCTTCCCTGATCAAATAAAATGCTTGCACGCTCTACGCGCTATATTATAAACATGTCCCAAGTCACGTAGAGAGCCCGGAATAAAATTCACATTTTTCGGGATAAACACCTCCACACTACAATCACCCTACTTATTTGAATCAATGTTTTTGCATCACATGGCATATGCTCACCAATCAATCGTCAGATGTGTGCAGTGTGAATACACTGCCTTTAGGAGTTTGGAACACACTGCCTTTAGGAAAAAAAAGTTGTGATGTTTCACCAGGTGAGAAAAGCTAATTATGAGGCAATTGTGATCACAGCCACCGTCAAAGGACCTCTCTCGTCGACCAAGAGTCCGGCAGTCGGAAGAAAAACTCATCGAACGCAAGTTCACACGCGAGCGTTTACGTCGCCGTACCGTCCACGTGGTGTTCCGTTGCCTTCAGCGAGACACCCGGCGCGCTCTCCGATTTGAACGCCACGGACCTATCGGCGGAAACCTCCTCCACCGTCGCCTTCAGCATCTGCCCCGGTTTGGGAAACTCGCGGCCTGCACGACAGTTACACGTACGACATCGCCTCGTTTCTCGTCGCTCAATGCAAACAAACAAAGAAGTTTACGCATCGGGGGCAGTTTTCAGCCGTTGTGCGTTTTAATGGCAAGATGCAACTTCAGGAACACAATAGACATGCCGATACATCCAGATGCTTTTAAAATCTATATTGTATTGTATTACACGATACTGTTACCACCAAATATCAACCAAAAACAGTTAGATTGTATTATTTAAGTACAAAAAAAATCTGTAGTTTCTTCCGCTTCAAAAGATAACTGGGCTATCTGATTTATCTTTAACCATGGTTGGCTACATATGGTGCAAAAGAAGTTCAACATACATATATAATCTCCTTTTTATTTGCCTGGTGGGTATTCCACATTCATATGATGGGGGAAACTTCCAACCCCTGAACTCCCTCCCCCCCCGCACTGGTGCCATCTCGTGCTGCGTCTGCGCACGGCGCTATCGGAGCCGAGACCTTTGCTGGCGAGCAAGGCTCGAGCCTGGACGACCTCCCGCAGGGCCTGGCTGAGCAGCGCGGTCCCCTCGAGCGCAGCGTCGGCCAGGCACTCGGAGACTCGGAGAGAGATGTCCAGGCGGCTCTTCTCCTCGTCCACGCGGGTCACAGCCGCCAACACCGTCTGCCCGACCGAGTAGAACTCCTCGCAGCTCACCACGTACTCGTCGGACAGCGCCTGCTCGCAAGGGGATGACCGGTGGCGCGTACGCGTGAGCTTTGCCGGGCCGCTGTTGCCGCTTGAATGTTCCCGCTTGCCACGGGGTTGGAGAATCCGTCATGGCTTTAGAGTTTGCGTTAGGGCCAGATCAATTCATCAGTTGAGGTTCGCTCGTGCAGAAGCTAGGCATCGTTTAAATCAATTAACTATCGATGATAAAAGGAAAGTACCGTGTGAATAACTGTGGCTTTTCATTTTACGGGCAATTATTGCAAATACCACAAATTGTTAAGTTAGGTAGTACAAAACGACTTACAAATGAATCTTTTGGTATAGAGTGGTGTTTACAAATTCAGACATTTTACTCCATAGAGACAGTTTTTAAGTGCTAGGCATGTGGAATCTTAGCTGTGCAGAAGCCATGACAACTTATGTGGCCCTCAGCAGGGAAACCAAACCGGCAGGTACATTTTTATAGTGCTCAGTTTGAAAGATAATTTTCATTTGTGCAGGCTTTTACTGCCGTGGTAATGGTTCTTGTAAAGTCACGGAGAGCGTGACAGTCCTCCACTTACGGCCTTGAACGCCATTCCCCTGAGGGCGTAGGGGAACTCCACCGACACGCCGTACGGCAGCATTCTCCTCGTCACACCAACCAGCAGCATACCAGCCTGCAGCAGCGGGGAGAAGGGGGGGGGGAAATCTGTAAATGTTCTTGTATTGCATTTCATATTGAAAATGGTAAATAAAAACAGCCAATTTTCCACACCTTTACACAATTTGGGGCATTTAAAAAAAAATCAAACCATATCGTTATCGTAACATTAATTTCGCCAGGAAAGCCTCGCTTGAGTCAAGACTTTTTCCAGAAGGGTTCTGCCGAGTTTCGCACAAGGCAAAGCTGCTTTTTCCCAGAATGAGAAATTTACAGGTAATTTTTTATACGTACTAATTTTTCGTATTAATAGATTTCACATCGATGTTATTCGAGTCCCATGGACTTTTTTTTTGCCGTTGGGGCCTGACCATTTCTTTCACCGATATCTCCTTGCCATGTCACTCCACTTCTCTCTGTCCGTCGCTGCTACCTCCAACGGATATAAGTTCCCTCCACTCCAAAGCTTTCATATGATGTATGTTTAACTTATTTCGCACTGTACGTAGCCAACTGTGAAAATAATGTATTTGTGTTAAATACTCGAACTCTTAACAACGTAATGTGAAAGGTCTCACTTGTAAGTCGTCGAGTGTCTTTGCCACATTGCCCCCGGACAGCGCCACCTGCAGAGCATGCTTCTTTGTCAGTAACTGACGTTAATGGGTGGTTAAGGCCATTTAAGCGCGCACGTGCAAAAGCACACCAAAGGCTCAACACGACAGTGAACATACACTTATAATAATTGTTTTTTTTACCTTTTTATTCGGCAACAAAACTGACACCTATTTTACAAGGAGTCATGTTTGCATTGACCACAATACCTGCGGTCGGAATGCAAACAAAAAACATAACTCTGATAATGTATGTGGCACTGTCCTTGAAATTGATTGGTCCACACCCGAGACAGCTTTCCTTAGAGCCGAGTCTCACGTGGTGTTGGACCAGATGACGCCAAAAGGTGCACTTGTAAAAAAAGGTGTCAGTTTTGTTGCCAGATAAAAGGGTAAAAAAACAATTATCATATTTTGCTACTGGCAAAGGAGGTTCCAATGGCATACACTTATATTCAGGCTTTCAATCACACAGGTTACACAATAAACATCACTAAATGTGCAATTGCACGTACAGCCTTTTTTTTTTTAGAAACACGCGTTTAGAGTATTCGGCTGCTATAGATTTCCACGTGGTAAGCCACTTCGTTGAGCTATCATTTATGGCCAGGTCGCTTCTGAAAAAGAGCTATATAGCTCAGTGGGCCTTACCTGGTAAAAATAAAAAGTTTTATTTCGTTTTTGTCAATCCACCACAGGATGGAGGGCCTACAGTTGCCATGTGCACCAGTCGGTCGTACAAACGTTTGCCCCCCCCCTCCACACCACCGCGTGGAACGATGCCAAGGATACAATTTTGCCATTGCGCTCGCTGAAACACGTGGCGCTCAGCACGTCGCCTGGCTCCACGACTTCCAGCAGCAGTCGGCACACGTGCACGTTGTCAGAGAGGTGCATCATGGGCATGAAGCCCGGCGCTCCTGAACCCGTGACGTTCACGTCCAGCCCCTTCTCCGACTTACAGCGCACCTGCACGTCCACGCACTGGGCAGGCGCCGGACAAGAGCACACGGTGGTGGGTAATTGTCGCGTGGGAATACGCGTCCGCAGCGGTTCTGTCTCGTCAATATCGCATTCGATGCTCATACTGCTTGCAAGAATTATTATCTTCCTCTGCTTCTTCGCTGGCGTTGCTAGATTGGTGTAATTCCCTCCCACAGTCTCTTTTCTCAAGCTCTTATAACCTTCCCCAATTCAAGAAATGTGTTACATCTAATTTATTACAACTATGATAATCCTGATTTGAAGCTTTTAAATTTGGAACTTTGGGCCTGTGCTCAGCAACAGTGTAAAAAAAAACCCTATCGGGTGTAGGACTGTAAATGTTCAGAACATAGACATCTGAAACCAGGAGCGCCGAATGTTTATCTCACGTGGAAGGCGGGATTGTGCACGCTGCAGAAACACTCTCTCACCTTGCCCACTTCGATGGCGAAGCTTGTTTGCTGAACGGGGCACCCAGCATCCTGCGTCTCCCTTCCACTCATCGTCCCCGACAGAGAAACCAACATTCTCTCCTCGGCTGGAGAGGAATTTAAGACCACAGCCTTCACCACCTTGCTCAGGAGGCACGCAAGCAAAAAAAACACACACAAATTAAATTTCACAATGATGGGGGCATCTGCTCCAGTTGCTGAATTTTAAAATAATCATCTGAGGGGGAAGCGGTGAAACAGCGGTTAGTGACTGTATTCTGAACCAAACAAATCTTGAATTACGTTTCTCTTAGGCTTGGCCTACATCACTGGTGAGTAATATCTGAACCCACCCCCAAGCTGCCCACCCCGTCATTAACCCATTAAAGCAGCCAACATTTTGGGCAATGGTCCTTCTAGATATTTTGAGATGAATGGCCAGTTCCCTGAACGTCACCTATCCTATAACTTTTCCTCATTATAAAAAGCCAGTCATTGATGAATGTGTTGAGTTTTTTGTTATTTGTGCATGCCAACCCACTGCCAATCCAGCATCTCAAAATTTACTTCACGTTGAAAAACCGTTTCCTTTTTCTTTTGCATATCATGCTGAACTCATTAAAGAACATAAACAATCATGCAAACTCCGGTCATCCTCGAAGTAGCAGCTTTTGGCTATCCATCGAACAAAAACGGTCCATGCATCGCGTTCATTCAGCAGTTTCTGCGGCCGTCTGGAACGCGCTTCCATCCGATATTAGGAAGTCACTGAGGGCTATGCACTTTTAAACCTAGATTGTACACTAATTTCTTTAGAACTGCTTTTACTGATTAATTTTTTGTCCTTCCCCTGCACCTCTAATTAGCACGGTTAGTTAGGTACAGCGCGAAACAAGCTCAACATATCTTCTTGGTTCTTTCGGGTAAAGTCACGTAGAAGGGAAATAATAAAAAAGTAATAAAAATATAATAAAATAAAAGTTCAACATACATTGTGACCTTCCCGTAATAACCCAACCCCGCCGTGTTTCTGGGCGCTTCAGCGTGGCCTCACCTGCCCCGTGTAGAACGCCTGCGTGGGGTCGGCGCCAAAGTCGAGGCCCAGGTCGGAGCGCCGCGCCAGGGCCTTGACGTTGCCGTAGAAGCGCACGATGCAGCCGAAGTCGCGCACGCACACCACGGTGCCGTGAGCCACCATGCCGGGCACGGCGCTCTCGAAGGAGACGAGCGGGCGGAGCTTGGAGCGCACCAGCGCCCGCTTGTGCGTCAGCATCAGCTTGTGTTTCTCCGCACAGCAGTTCAGCACCTGCAGATGGGGTAAGCGAGCCAATAGGCACTGTCATTTGTTTTCATTCACCAACGGCAGCGTTACACCCCGTGAGCCACAGGGGTTGTGGTCGGTACCGCCTGTGGTGGCAAACGTTACTCGTGTGTCCACAGTGGGCAGAAAACTCAGCGTGCTTACTGTCTTGTTTGCAGACACGCTGAATATTTGTTGCCATATTCCACAGATGATTCACGCAACTATTAGTTTAATAAAATCAAAGTTACCATGATTTGTTTGCCATCGCACCCATGTGCGATCTGGAGGTAAAATGCTCCAAATATATAATTATTTGAATTTGTCACCCTGGGCGGAACTAATTAATTATTTTTTTAACCAAAGGCTCAAAAAAATGTTATTCACCGGGTTTTGGAGGTGCAATATCCCGGGTTGTGGAGTAACCAAGCTCCTCACTCATTGAGGGTTAGTGTCACATATGACTGCTAATATAGAGGTAAACCTCTTGCTTTCTAGGGATGGGACGATTCGTTGCTCGATTACAATGGATTGTTATGCTTGTGTGTCAATATAGGTTTCAATGGAAAAAAAGACACCTAGAAATTCAGTTCCTGATAAAGTTTCCAAACATCTGGACCAAAATGTTAAAACATGGCCAAGCAACATGCAGTATGTTCTGAAAAGCACTGCAGGGCTACAGAGCACACCTGTGCTAGCCTTCATCGTAGTACCTGGATTCATACTACATTGTGGGGTAACATCACAAGAGACAAATGTATGCCGAACACCCTCCTCCACCCAACAGCTGATCAATAAAGTTGCCGCGTGAACAAACGTGCCAAATTATTATTGCTTCAGCACACGCTCATACATCGGGGTAAAAAAAGTGTCAGATGGTGACAATCTGAGAAGTGAAATTAAACATGTCAAAGAAGCGCTGCAATTGAACGGTTACAATGATGCACAAATCAACAGGGCATTGAATGCCAAAGCCAAATCAAGTAACACGAGCGTTGAAACGGACCAAGTAATTAAAGCTATTAAAATACCGTACATTGCGGGAGTAACTGATAAACTAGCCAGATGTTTAGAAAAACAAAACATCCGAGTCAGATTTGGCATGGTACATAAAATACATGAATTAATATCTCGTAAAAAAGATGTATTACCGAAGCTATCAACAGAAGGTGTGTACTGGATTAATTGCACTTATGGCGACTGCTATGTTGGGAAAACAGGACGAATGATAAGCACGTGTCTAAAAGAACACCAAAGAAATATTAAATACTCCAAAATACAACTATCGGCAGTGGCAGAAGAAGCGTGCCAACAAGGACACAATCGATTTTGAAAACATTGACGTATTGTGCAAAACTAGCTACTCCTGGCCAAGACTAATGAGAATCTATCGAATTTGGTAGAAATAAAAAAAAATGTAAACGTTCTGATAGCTAGACTTAAGTGCTGCTGGGAAGCGAATCATCAAATAACACATTGTTTAAATGCATACCTCTATACAGGTCACCATATTTCAATAGGGATTACCGTTGAACACTAACAGGTACGGCTATTTTAATACACAATCCACAGGAGGTACAATAACAATGGGCTAATGCACATACATAATGTATGTTGATTACCATAGCAATAACCCAACCGGCAATGGATACCCATTGTCATTTATATGCATTCATTAATCTCCCTCCCCCATCCCTCACAAGCGATGCGATCACATCTAGCCCTCTTATTTAAGGAACAAAACAGGAGGATTTCTCCACAAATCTGGCCGTCGCCTGATGAAGCTAGTTGTAATTACTGGCGAAACATCGTACTCGGATTGTAAATGTTGTGGCTTTGCTTTCCAACACACAACAGGTGTGCTTGTAACTAGTAACGAATGTGCATTTTCTGTTTACGTGACAAACCTTACTAATTTGCAATGTCGGGTGGTGGCGGGTTTAACGACACATTTATATATTTACGCAATTTAACCCAAAAATCCTGTATTATGGATGACATTGGTCACCAAAGCCTACGTGTTAAACTTGGAGAGAAATATTAGAACATTTAACGATGGGGAATGACGTTCCGGTGAATAGTATTTTTGGTTAGCTGCTGGAAGGGACGCAAAGGCCACATATCTTGCGATGTTCAAGTTGACACAAGTTCAGTTATGATGTTAACGTTCTTTAATTATGATCAATGCACTCAGAATTTTCGCGCCTGCCCATTTCGAGTGGACAATGTTTAACATTGTCATAAAAACAAAGACGGTCGGACAAAAGACTCAGGGCGCTGGAACCTTCACATCACTACGGCGCTGTACCTTCAAGTTTCCAGTTTATTGCTCAAGCTACCTTGCAGGTGACCTCGTTGCCGGGGCTGAACTTCTTCTCCGGGTGGAGCACGGCGACGTCCGCGAGGTGGGAGAGCGGCACGAAGCCGCGCACGTAATCCGTCAGGCGCACCTGCAGGCCGAACTTGTCCACCGTCAGCACCGTGCCCTACGGTACAGAGACGCGGTGTGACTGGGGCGGGGCGGGCCCCATCAGGAGTGGCACACGCTTACGCCATGAGCATAAGGCTAGGCACTCTCTTTTGTCGAGCCATCCACGCGAGACACTACAAAACGATTCAAATGTGTACCGTGTCGAAGGGATGGAGCGGTGCCGCAGCAGCGAGTGGCGGGTGATACGAGAACCAGTCCTGCCGGTCCGATTTAAAATCAATATCATTGCACCACGGAGTGATTGTGTGCGGAGCTAGTGCGAGCATTAGCGTCTGCTCACCTCCACGGTCTGCCCGAGCTCAAGATCGCTGTAGCGCATAAAAGGACCTTCGATTACGCTCCTGGTAACAAGAAAAGAAGAACATCGTGTAAATGTAAATTGATCGTTTTAGCAACTGCATCAGTGTGAGAGTTGCACGGCGCAACTCAGAGAAGCACCGTGGACAAGAGGCGGTACTCACTGCCGAAGGGAAGCGATTGCCGCTTGGTCCACGTGGCTGAAGGCTATGACGCGGCATTTATGCTTCGAGTCTTCGCTTAGAAACTGCCGCTCCTTGTCGGAAATCTGTTTCACCTGCACGTTGAAGATAAAAATATGCTTGCTGCAGTTATAATAATAATACAATTTGCAGTATTCAAACACAGCATAAAATCGAAAAAAACAAGAACTCAAGCTGAGATATCTAATTTGTTAAGTAATAGATTTCTCTTTATCAATTAAAAGTTTGATTATTTGACTAATCAGATCACGTGAAAAAGTCTCAACTCCGCATCCCATATCATGCCCCACTGGATGGGAGGCGATGGGCAGGGCTTGGTGACATCGCCAGCACCATCGGTCGCTTCACGCTGCCGGGCGTGGCTCGTTGGGTCTCAAGTAATCGACCACCAAGAGTAGTTGATTCAATTCTTCCATCAATGAAACATAAAATGGATCTTGATTTGAAGCTTTCGTGACTGCAGGAATCCATACTCTTTGGTTCTTTCGGTAAAGTCACGTAGGTATAGACTTTACCGAAAGAACCAAAGAGTATAAAATGGACTGTTCTTTCCAGCTTTAGCCTCAATTAAATATGGTGGGTAGTGATTATTGTGTCCCTCGCTGGTAACACTCAGAAAGGTGTGTGTAGGGTACCACTCTCATCCTGATGAAACAGATGAAAAATATCACCTCCAAATTTCCCCCTATTGTTGACAATGGACACATCAGCACATTTACAATAAAATGAGCAATCGACAAGATGATAAAGTGCAGATATCCTAAATGTCGGATTTTTAAATGCATATTTAACACTATTTCCTTACAAATGGGGAGAGTGCTGGAACAGCAGTTCATGCACTGCTCTATAAACCTAGCAACTTGAGTTCGATTCTCAGTAACATCTAACATCAGTAGCTAGTGAAGTCTGAACTTATCCTGCACTAACCACAGTGGGTGAAGCTCCATGACCAACACAGGACAAGGCCATTATCCAGCCGTGAATTGACGAGGGCTGTAAGTTATCATTTATAACCACAACTTTATAAAAAGAGAGTGGCAGCCAAAGGTGGGAATACGACCGAGAATCACGTCTAACAGAGAGATGAAGCAATTAAAAACAATCACGTGTACATGAATTATATGGGACCGTTGCACCGTAACACCATAAGGCTTCCAGAGGCCTTCATCCAGCAGTTGACAGATCATAGCCGCTAATGATGAAGTACAAACACTTACAGGGAAACATGATGCGCATTATTAATGTCTGCAAGGCAATAATATTTACATGAACGAAGGCAGGAGATCCGTTGGGCAGCACCAATAAGATGCCCGCGCCCGTGAGGATACGGGAGATAGCACAGTCCTCAAACACGTCACCGACGGTGAAACCGATCGGGTCCGACGCTGGTTTTCCCGGTTGCAGCAGCGCTGGCAGGGTGCTGAGCCCAATCAGCTTGGAAGAGGGCATCACGTGCAGAACGCACACCTTCACCTGAGCAAACAAAAAACAGGGGCCCGGCGAGAGAGACTCGCGTTACGGCGTTTAGCAGCATTGGTAAACAATACCATCTTACAATCAAAACAAGAGAAAACAATGTAGCTGGAGTATGTAAGATGATCACTAGTGGGACAGCTTCAGCGCTAATAAGTGGTGGGGGCAATGTCTGCCTGCAGAGTGTAGTCACGGAGAATTTAAATTTACTCGACATCTGTGAAAAAGGGGCTTCACAGTTCAGATTCCTCCAGTTTAAATGAAGATTCCAATTATGAATTTTGCTAATTGTTTAGCATAAGTTACAATGACAGGGGGGGCTTTTGTTGAACACAGTGTGATCCATTAATAGTAACCCCACAAAAAAAAGATGGAGAAATTATGAAAACATTTTATTTCATGTCTCCAAACAGTCTCAATACACACATTGAGGATTTAACCCTCTTCTTTGTACGATATGGAGCCGCTGTCCTTAAAATATTCCATCACCTGTTGAGATGAAACAGGGCGAGTCGAAATTAGTGTTAATGGGAGATTGCAGAGCCGCAACAAAGGGGTCGGCCCGCGGAGTGACTGTGTGAAATTGTGTCTGTGTATAGACACGGACACAATTTCAACCGAGAAGATGGGTACAAACTGAGCAATCATTGTAAGGACGTTATCAACCAGTTTAAGTCATAATTGGCTATGATGTTCCCATCCTACCACCACCTTCCGATGTTAGTTGTGCTTTACGCCCATTTCAAACTTGCGCTTTCACAGTCACTTCGCGTACCGACCCCTTGGTTGTGGCTCTGCGATCTCCCATTAACATGCTAACCTCTCTTTAACATGCTAATCTCCCATTACCATGCTAATCTCCCATTAACATGCTAATCTCCCATTAACATGCTAATCTCCCATTAACATGCTAATCTCTCTTTAACATGCTAATTTTCACCTGGCAGCCCTTTGATTGGTGGAAAACGAACCACCGCCGGGCTCGCTGCCGAACACTTACATTATCATTGGCTGCTGACATTTGGGCTACGCCCATTTCAACCCCTTGTAAACAGTTTCCATTGGAAGCTGACCCCCCCCCCCCCTTTTCCTGAAGACGACCCCCCCCCTTTCCTGAAGACGACCCCCCCCTTTTCCTGAAGACGACCGCTTGCGTTGCGATCGAAACGTCGTAGTTTTTTGTTATTTTTGATTATTTTCTTTGAACCTATCTACGTGACTTTACCGAAAGACACCAAGACTATGAATACCTGCAGTCACGAAAGCTTTAAGTCGAGATTGAACCTTGAATAGTGCCTAAGATGCGTTCACAACAATCACACTTAAAAATCTGTTATACCAGGTGATCCATTTATAGATGCCTCACTAATTTCGACTCGCCCTGGTTCATCTCAACAGGTGATGGAATATTTTAACACACAGTTAAAACCGTCGTGTAAGTTATAATTCTGGAATAATGGGACGATTCCTGGATGAAAATTATGTAAATTGTGTTCACTTTGTACTGCACAGGGACAGGTTCCATTAGGGGTCCCCCCCTAAGGCTAAGCAAGTTCTGTTAAGACATTGTCTGTGTCTTGATCTCCAAAGTGCGGGATGGCGTGCGAGGCAGAAATCCTGTGCACGATTCTCACCTTCTGGCCCTTCTTGTAAATGACTTGTGGGCTGAGATGCAAAGAATCCACGCTGCCTTCAAACAAACCCAGGAACTCCACCACCAACCCATCGTGCTCCACCTTATGTAAGCAGAAAATTTACATGGTCAAACAGCACTCCTATTGTGAAATGAGAAAAATATCCAATTCGAAAAAAAGAACAAACTTCATGAACCAATGTTAATTCACTGCTGGTTGAAGAAAGCCTTCCCCGTGTGAAGCGTTTGACCACACTTCCCACTGGTAAGTGCAGATCGGTGAAAGTACAGGTGGTCAGTACAGGTTCAGATATCGCTCGCAACTGATGTTAGCCATGACCGGGACTCGAACTCAAGTCATCAGGTTCATGGCGCAGCGTGAGCATCACTATGCCACCGTTCCACCTAATTATAAATTAGAGGCTTATAAATGCCGACACAGACATTTTTGTGGCAATTTCACTAAAAATCGGCTGCACCCACAGGCCAAATACACTCGAGAGTGGCCCTCAGAGCTCCATGTAGCAGAGTCCCTTCTGCCAGATGTGGTGCGAGCAAGCATATGCAGAGCTACACCTTTACCGTTTACCAATTTTGGTCGTGGTGAAGGGGGCCCCAGGAGCAGTTCATATATCACTCGACCACTGCTGTTAGCCATAGTTGGGAACTCAAAACTGAACCCATAGGTTGATGTGTGCAATAGTGGAGTGTGTCAACCACTGCGTAATCCCCCTCGACATTGCGCCATAACATTATAAGCTATCGTACCCTTTCAACGGTGCCCGACAGAATCACGCCAGGCAGGAGGTTGTCGAGTGTCCAGCCATGCTTCTCGTTGGCGATGGCCGCACTCAGTTTAGTAGGGTTGGCCGAGAGCTGAACCGAATGGCCTTGGCTCCGAACAGTCTCAACGATGCACCACACCGGCTGGCCCACCGACAGGTTTTGACCTGGTCACATGGAGATGGCAACGAGACATCAAACTAGGAATAAAATAAACCCCTGCATTATACAACCAAAGGCAAGGCTCATTACACTGAAACAAACACACATGCATACACGAAGCATAATGGCTTCAGTTCATCATAAGCTACTGTTGTTGCCTCCAGGGAATTTACAAAGGCTCGAAAAGCATTATTGAATATCTCTTTTTTTGGCAATGACTGTTCATTAATTCATTGGCTACATGACAAAGATATCTCACTAGAGACATTAAATCAGGTTGGCTATATACTTTAAAGACCACACCATAGGTTATAAAACTCCATATGATTTTAAATTGAAGGGCTCTATAGAGAAAAAGCCAATGGCACTGCAAGAACAAAGGATGCGTGCTTTCAAGCTCACGTGTCTTAAATGGGTCTAACAATACTTTCACAGAAGACCAAGTTAAGAAATTGTAATTCAAACCTGTGTCGGTGAAAAATGTACATGAATGGTGCTGGAACAGAAAAAAAGTGAAACCAGAATACATTATTTTGAAGAATCGCTTTCATGCGTAAAACTTACCCGCTTTCTTCGAGTTCACCAATGCTTGAGCCTTAGCCTTGCTGAGAAAAGCCTGGGTGCCATACACGCCAATGTCCACCATGTACCCATGATCCTCTACGCTGGCCACACAGCCATGGAGTAGCTGCAACAGCAAGATAAGCATAAGCTGCTGATAAGGTTCAAACAACACGCAAAATATTCTTGGTTCTTTCGGTAAAGTCACGTAGAAGGGAAACAATAAAATAATACCGACAGAACCAAGAATATGAATCCCTGCAGTCACGAAAGCTTTCAATCAAAATTGAACACGCAAAATGTGTAAAAGGTTACTTGGCCTTCGTGCATTATGCAAAATTCACCAGCACTTCCTTAAGGAATGAATGCATTGTGGTCAGCTCTGAAGAGTATACATTTTCAAATTAAGCAAGCTAGTGCTGGTTAAACAAGCATTACTGCTTAAAGTGACCCAGAGTTTCAGAGATGAGATCACTGATCAGGCACTGCCAATATCTTAAGTTTGAACCTATGTTTTAATTGCCTGTTATTAAACCAGAATTGCAAATCAAGTCTCGGCATGGTCACCAAGGACTGTACAAAAAAACCCATCATAGGCAATTTGTGTTTTCACTTAATTTGGCAGATTCCAGCTACAAAAATGTTAAATCAGGTTGACTAATGTACCGAATATTTCTATAGAAGCACACTTTTTTAAGGTATAGCATGCCAAGTTTGGACAAGAGGACATCTGAAAGGATCTCAAAAATAGTTGTGATGCCTTCTCCAGGCCACTCTCTAACTCGAGGCGATCTACTGCTCCATGATAACTCTGAATTGGACATTTTTTCACGTGACATGGGACAGCACAAAAGTGATTCCTGCCAAGATTGGCACGAGCCCGCAACTGCTGACATACCATGCCTGGTCTGAGAGAGGAGGCACTGAGATCCTTGTTGACATCACGAGGGTTGACTGAGAGATTAATCCTGCACCAGTTGCCTTTGCCCTGCACAACCTCCATGACTCGGCAAGGAACCAGGGTCCCTGGTGGGTACAGCTCACTCAGAGGAGTGACCGTCTGTTAACAGAGCGCAGAAAACCGGAAAATTAAACACAACTTATATGCCAAATGTATTGTCTGTGCCAGCAATTTTATAAGTTTCTGCTGAAGGTTAAAATATAACAACGCTTGTGGAGATAATCAGTTGAGTCACATTAATTTTCCACAAAACAAGAAAACAAATTGGTGATTCAATACAATAATTGCAGAAGCTACCGTTTCAAAACAAACCACTACGCTGTTAAATGCAGCGTATTATTTCCAAAGCACTCCTTCCGACTCCAACAACCTATACATATTAACAGTTCTACAAACAATTCCAACAATATCTACATCAAACTATAATCCAGGACTGTCTTCCGAAAAATATTTAAAAAAATATTCGTGAATATATTTTAAAATACCACACCTCATTAGAGAAAAAAACAAAATACAGTGAATGCACTTCATCAAAAAAGACATTCATCACCTCTGACTCCAGGTTTGAATCCAGGTTGTCACCCAAGCTCTTAGTGTAGGCATCGCACACGTGCACAATCTGGACATTGCCAGTGAGGCAACCTGGCAACCCCACCTCCAGCTCATGGTCCAGAGAGACCTTGACGCAGCCCAGGACAAGCATGTCTGGGTTGACCATCTGTGGGACAATAGCAAATACAAATAGAGAATTCAAATGGGAGGAGCATACTTAACAAGGCGAGGCAACATGACAATGTTTCAACTGAAGTGATGCTGTAAATTGCCATCTTTGTATTTACCAAGCTACAAAAAGCAACTGCATCTCAAAACGCTGTATCAGAACAGTGGGCGCATTTATTTTAAAGAGAGAGGACAATTGACAAAGCAAAAAAAAATGTTTGGACTTGAAAAGGAGCAGGGAGTTGACAGCACAGATATATATGAGGGAAGGCAATAGCAGCCCATGGGGGGCTGCATAAGAGAATGCGCAACCTTCCAATGGAAAAAAAATGGTGACTGTGGGCTTTGATAGGAAGCCATGGTTGCTAAAGCAGAGTGAATGGAGAAAAGAGTGAGATGGGGACAGAGGTAGTGTATTTACACCACGGTTAACACAATCTTTGGCAACGTAGCCATTCTGCTGAAAGGCATGTCGGGAAGGTACCGTGAGACCTCAATATAACATTTTCAGGGATCCTGCCCAACTCAACGTTAGATGCGAAAACGTTAATGACAGAAAAACCGACTGCAATATCAATCAGATGTTTTTTTATGGATTGTTCGGTATAGAAAAAAAATCACCGAGTAAGAACATTACAATAAGATTTCACTGTACATTTACGACAGGATAAGTGGAAATGCAGCACAAAGGGCCTATCATCTTTCCCACAGATTAGCAGAAGTAATGTGGATCATGCAACGGTTTTACCTTCAATTTAAGAATGTCGATGAACTGGACTTTGTTGGGCTTTAATACTGCATGCTTAGTGCTGATGGCCTCTTGTTCAAACTTCAGTTTCTTGACTTTTTCTCCCTCAACATCCTTGGCTCGCCGCTTTTTGCCCTCAATTTCCAACTCGTGTTGCTGCAATAAACATTTCGGTTAGTGGCAAAAAAAGAAACACAACGTTCCAACAAGAGTACGATTTCAATTAGCGTATTGTACTTCTGTGATCATTTGTGTTTTATCACGGTCTATATATTTACTGGACATGTAATGACTCATTCTGCTAGTGAGTCCATACATTGTTCGGATTCCGTGTTGCAAATCCATTCAAGACACGATTAATTTGCCTCGTTTTTACAGTCTTGTCCATATCGTTTCTAATTGTATTCTCTTCTGTGAGCAGGATGATGGTTGGCTTCACTAGCCTCACTGTTTTTGGTGTTTAGTTTGTTGTCCTTCCACTGCACCTCCGATTAGCACGGTTTGCTGCGTACGGTGCAAAAAAAGTTCCAACATACATGCACTGCAACACAAAGGCATATTTTCCACAACAGTATTTTTTGCAAGCATGACACCATGCATGCATCATGATATTAACATTTCACGCGCTTTTCTTTACAAAAGAGCAATCTGCAGACGTTAACCAATGCATACATCCCATTACAGGAACCTCCGTTGACACACATGGTGCAGACGACGAGCAGGTTTGCCGCTTGTGGCAGGGGCGACTTACGCCGAAGAGGTTGTCGCTGTGAGCAGCAGACTTTTCGATGGCACGTGCGGCCACTCGTTCCTTTGGCTGGACACCTCCTCGGGGAAAATCTTCCTCCATGGCTTTGCAACTTGCGGCTGAGCAAAGAGAAAATCCCGCCACACCGTACTGCGTAAACAAACGCATTCACAAGCACTCACACCCGCGTCCCGGCAGATATTCATTCAAAGTTGTGCCGCCAACGTATCCACCGACAACGTTTGCACATGATGATGGCTCACTTGTCGTACTGTCATCTCCTTGCCACCTCGCAGTCCAGCAGATGGAGGCGTCTCGTGTATGTAATTAACGGCTCTGGTAATCACATAATGCAGGTGTGTGGCAACACTTTCTTTGTTTGTTTGTTACAAAAGTACGTACAGAAAACATGTACACACATTTTGTGATCAGAATGGATACAAATACACGACGCGACTTTCAATAGTTTTTAGTGTTGATTATATTATTTTCTGAACCAGCCCCCGGGTCCCATCTCCCACCTTTCACCAACCAAACCGCCCTGACCAACGTGGCACATTAAGTACAGAACTACTGAAGAAACCCCCAACACCGACAATAGCTGGAAAAGAGTGCAGATTACTGTATACGAAATACGAACAAAGAATCCTGAAAACCATACGCTATGATTCAGACGTTTGTTTCTAAACTTTATACTGTACTGGTTAACTTTTTGTATTGGTTCCGCCCCCCCACCCCCACGTTATCCGATACATTTTTTACGTAAGAAAAAAAATACCTAAATTTAAAAAAATACCGAGCCATGATTATATAAATGCTGAATGAGGGCCTCCTCGTGCCGTGAGTGATTTGACCATACTTCGCCACGCTGGTCATGCGGGTGATTATAACGGAACGTTGAAATTACTTTAAAAAGTAAAATGTAACATAGTGGAATGAGCTTAACGTCAACAACACGCGATCTTTAAAGGCACCGATTACTCCGATAACGCCGAGAGAGGACAGAGTTTGAAAGGAACCTCCGCTCAACACCCACCGACTTGGGCTGGATGCCTCTACCGACCACCCCTCACCTCAACCAGCAGAGAATCCAGGCGAGACCGATGAATCACCGCGGCCTAGTGGGAGTTCAGTTGAAATCGCCGGTGGCCGAACGCTGAACGTGCAATATTATTAAAGTCGTACAACACGGAGTCGCAAATGTATCCCGATCACCTTATTTGACGATAAATATTCTTTAATCGACGTAATTTAAGCGGCAAACCCGATCTTGCCACCACGAGGTTTAGAAAACATGTGCGTGAGCGACGGAGCAAATCTCGTCTCGCGAGGTCTCGCGAGATCTCGCTCTCTCGCGCGCTCTCGCGAGACCATGGCTGGAAAACGTCCGCTTGGCGATTTTAAATGAATGAATAATGAGCCAGTTTAAGAATCAGGAGGCTTTCGCGACCTCTCTTATCCATCCATAATATAGTTTTTAATAGGTTTTTTTTTTAAGTTAGATCGAGTAAATATAAACGCGTCGTTAAACTCGCCACCACCCGACACTGCCCATTAGTAAGGTTTTTTTAGTCACCAAAACAAAACGTCGCCAATTCGTAACTAGTGGTAGTTGCAGGAAGCGCCTGCTTTGGGGCCGTCCATAAATGACGTCACGCGATTTGGGACGATTTTTTAACCCCCCCCTCCCTTCGTCACACGGCGTCACAAAAAGTCAGACCCCCCCTCAAATATGACGTCACAAAGCTCTGCCCCCCTCCCCCAAATAAAACATGCTTCAAATCGCTTTAAACTATTGTCATTGTAGTGCGTATTTAATGTGGCGCTGCACTCTGATGTTGCAGGAGAAAACATTTATTAAAAAGTATATTTCATTAAGTAGAACGTGTTGTCTATATTTATTTTAAAGTTGCGCATTTTGATGTGACGTCACATTTCTCAAACCCCTCCCTCCCCCCCCATCTAGGTGCCTGACGTCATTTATGAACGGCCCCTTTTATTTGTGACACCTTTCCGGCCGTTCACACCCAGGATCGCCTCCTCTCCCTCGACCACGTTGACGCACAGCCCCGGCCTAGACACAACCGTGACCGCGTTGCGTCTGCGGCGTCGACCGACACAGCCAATGGCTGTCCGGCCGCGAAATCACAGTTCCTATGATCACTGGTTCACATTGTTTTTATAGCTTTATTTTGGTGATTTTGAAAACGTTTTGGTTTAGCCACGTTTGTTTGTTGTAGTACAGAGTTAGCCTGATAACTTTAAACTAAATGGTGTTATGGTTGTTATTGTTTGACTTGCATCCCACTGGGATTTTTGCACACAGCGTTGAAATGCGGTGTTTTTTCTGTAAGACTTTGCGGGTTTTTTCCCTGGATTTTTCTGTTGAGTGTCGCCACTTTAAGATGTTTCTTGTTCATGTTTTTGTTTTGATGCGGTTGCACCCGAGTCAAGAGCCGCATGGCTCACAGGGTTATACCTAATAAATGAAATTGAAACTGAAATGATCTTGCGAAGACCGGCAGCAACGACGAGATGAGTCCAACCCCAGAACCGGCAGCCCGGAGCTCTCGCTCTCCGCTGCTTTTAGTCCCCTCGGCGCGGCCTGGCCGCGCCTCCCTTCTCGAACCCACCCGGAGGGTTCCAGGGGCCTCCCCACGAGGTCTTCCGTGACCCTTGCCCCGGTTTCCTCCGCCCTGCCGGCACACACACAGCCGTGGACATGCTCAGCGGCGTGTGCGCTTACTGTCCATCGCAGTTGCCCCTGCTGGACAGCAGTCGGCGCTGTGTCACTACATCACCCCCCCCCCCCCCCCCCCCCCCCCCCCACACACTCCGTTAAAAAAATCAGGTGTCCGGCTGCCAATACAGCAGCTGCAACCGGTGGACAGGTAGAGCGACCCCTCCAATCCCGAGGAACACGCCGAATACCGACCCAACCGAACATGAAGAAAAAAATTGTTTTTCAGTCGCAACACAACCACGGTGCCCCCCGCGAACGACAGCACACATCTGCGGGGAGAGCGGCTACGCCTCGTCGGGCGACTGCCAGATTTGTGGAGAAAGAACGAAACAGGAGGATTTCTCGGCACATCTGTCTGCCGCCTAATGATGTTAGTTGTAATTACTGGCGAAATGTCGTACTCAAGAATTGTAAATGTGCGTTTACTCTCCAAAACACCGGTGTGCTGAACTAATAACAAATTGGCACGTTCTGTTTACGTGACAAACCTTACTAATTGGCGGTGGCGGGTGGTGGCGGGTTTAACGACACATTTATATATTTACGTGATCGAATTAAAAAATCTCTTATGGACAATAATGAGCCACGTGGGGAGTGGATGAATTATTGTATGGCCCCATGGAGTGCATTCATTAATAGACCCACGGAGTGATTGATTTTTCACGTGGTGAGGGAATGACAGAATTTATGACCCGTATGAAGAATTAATGACTTGATGGTCCACTTTGCAACTGAATAAATTAGTTTGCTTGATGAGTGAATGGACGAATCTACGTGCTACACGAATGCATTAACTCCACGCGTAGTGAGTGAATTAAAGAGTAAATTGTGTATTCACATAGGACATTTCTCCAAGTGGGTACTGAACGAATGGTCCGTGTGGTAAGTGAATGAACGAATGAATATATTTCCGTGGTAAATACAGCGTATCAAAGTGGTGAATGCACTCCGTTTATATGTCGAACCTCTTTCACACCGTACGCAGCCACGCCATGAACCCGGAGAACTAATTTTGGATTCCCGACCACAGCTATCAGTAGTGGAGAGTGGTAGTAGCCTTCACCGATCCGCACTGACAGGTATGGTGAAGTATGGTTAAACAATTCCCCACGTCGCAGGGAGGTCTAAATATCAGATACGTTCATTTTTTTTTAAACAAAATAATTGTTTGCGATTACAATAATTCCACGTGGTACATGTGCAGCGTGTGTCATCGGTTACATCAAATCATTACAAATTAGACATTGAATGTGTCAATGTGCACTCGGATATTGTATAATGGTACGTGCATACACGTGGAAAATGTAAAAAACACAAAAATCTAAAAGTGTGTCCAGCATGTTTGCAAATTACGTTTTTATGAAAAATAAAATACCACGTTGTTCGTGTTGGATTTCACATGTCCAATACCTATATGCATGCAAAATCTCAATTCAGAATACCTTTGGCTATTCGTAACAAAAGGTCCTCTTTATTTTATTCGCAAAGAGCCTCGGCATGAGTACAACTAAACAAGCCTTGCCCGTACAACCGATTGAAAATCAGTTGAAAACGTAGGCTTTCGCGACCAATATCATCCATAATACAGGTTTTTTGGATTAGAAAAAAACCTGTATTATTTATTGAAAATGTTTAAACACTGCATTGCACAAATCATGTTAATGAACGGCCATGCATTCTTTTTACAACATGTGTACTGATTGTTGTGCCATGGGGGAAGACCTCAGCCAACAGTGGATTCACAAAAGGGCAGGACTGTATGTATGTTGAACTTCTTTCGCACCGCACGATAGCCAAATGTGATAACCGGAGGTGCGGAGGAAGGACAACAAACTACCTCGCAAGAGAGAACTTTCACCCATGAGGTTCTCATGTAATTTTAAATTCCACATATAAATAAACCATCTGAAAAATGACCTTTCGAACGTTCGTAAAGATTTAACACTTAAGTGTATCATTTGGAAATGCATCCTAACATTCATTTATTTGTGCGGAAATTGCTTATTACATTCGGTCTACTCCATCACCGTGGCTTGTTGTGTTGCAGCCAGATGAGGAGAGGCTTCAGTCACCTTGTGTGACGTTGCTCACCGACTGTCTGCTTCACAATTGAGGGCTTGATACGACACATCATGTGCGACCACGTCGGATAACAGTGGTGATTTGTTACTCATACTCTTTGTATTTTTTCGGTAAAGTCACGTAGGTAAAATAAAATAAAAGGAAACAACTAAATAAAATCACGACGTTTCGGAGCCAACACAAGCTTCCGTCTTCAGGTGGAATAGTCACAGCAGAATATCTGTGTAACTATGCAGATATGACACAGATATTCTGCTGTGACTATTCCACCTGAAGACGGAAGCTTGTGTTGCCTCCGAAACGTCGTGATTTAATTTAGTTGTTTTATTTCATTTTACCTACGTGACTTTACCGAAAAAACCAAAGAGTATGAATCCTTGCAGTCACGAAAGCTTCAAATCTAGAATGGTGGTTTGTTCTTTGGGTCTTTCGGTAAAGACACGTAGATAGGTTCATAGAAAATTAAAAAACTACGATGTTTCGATTGCAACACAAGCTTGTGTTGCGATTGAAACGTCGTAGTTTTTTGTTATTTTATTTTCTTTGAACCTATCTACGTGACTTTACCGAAAGACCCAAAGAATATAAATTCCTGCAGTCACGAAAGCTTTAAGTGGCTTGCTTGATTCGCAAATGTCCTACTACTGCACGTATAGTCCAATAAATGAAAGCGCTATCCAGGTCCAGCTTGTGAGATGGTAATAACCAACTAAATAACCAAATGGTCCCCATTCAACACCAGGTATAGGCAGGCATGCGTTTGTATAAACTGAGCATGAACAATATAGCTCAACTACGAATACTATGTAGTATACGGTCAATTACATTGTGTGTACGTGAAAGGGTTACACACCAATACCGTATTGTGGATATTAAAAGAGAGACCTTGGAGGGATAATTGAACTTAAATTCTTGCTGTGCAGTCCCTTGAAGAGGTCAATATGTACAGCAGCATCACTAAATCACACATTGCCAAGAGGCAAATTTGGCCCGAGTTTGGCTTGGTTCTGCAACACGCTTTTGGATCAATACAATTATCCACAATATTTGTTATGTATCACAAATAGGATACATGACACTGTGCACAATGTGTGACAACAACGCCTTCAATCCACCCAGCATGGTCAGATATCGGAAGCTAAGCAGGTCGAAGCTTGGCTATGAATTGCACGGAAGATGACCTGAGAATACGGACACTAGGTTGTGTGGTCCTGCTGCTTCCCCGCACCTAAACGCACTCTGGTCACGGTGGTGAAGTATGGTCAAGTTAGCTCCACCACTAACGCGACGTGGGAGGGCCTTCATCCAACAGCAGAATGTCAAACGGAGGGATAACAAAGAAGCGGAACATTGTAATAAAATACAACTCATGTTGCAAGCCAGCGTTGATTATAATACAGTATTACATTTCACGGTATTACATTTGGCTGCGTGCATTCATCTTAATCATCTACTGTACACCCCCGTTGCATCGTGTGACCAAATGCATATATATTCTCCTTTATCCGGTCCGGGGGCTTAGACTGATTGATGATGGGGCGCAGCCTATTGTTAGCAAATGCACTCAGCCTAGCTTGCCCGGCGTGTGAATGACAAGAACCAGGTTCACACTGCTCTCATATCAGCTCTGCTACCATAAAGACCAAGCACAAAAAAATGTACAAAAGCTAAGTTTGTCTGGACGAAATTGAAACTTACAGAACGGGACATATCACAGTTGTGTGTTCGTCAAGCTGTAAAGGGCTCACGTGCCGTGATAGACTTTTAAAACGTGCCATTGGTACAATTAATTGTACAATCATCATCATCATCATCGGCCATGGTCAATCTACTAATGGATAAAGGCCTTCCCAAGTCGCAGCCACATCTCACGGTCATGTGATGCAGGAATAAACCTAGCACGAGCGCATCAACGGATTTCACATTGTCATACAAAACACGAATTCAGCCTAAGATGGAATTTTGTTGTTATTTATGGGGTGGAACACCCAGTTCCTACCGATGGGCACTTGATGGAATTCAACATAAAGCAGTCAGGATGATTGATGTCCCAGCTCTCACTGATTTCCTCACCAGCGGTTAGCCGCCCCCCTTATCACTCCTCTATCGCCACCACCAACACGGTTATTGATCCCGTGAAATTCACTCCTTGAATACTCCACCTGTGTTAAAACTCAGCCTACCGGACGGCTATTTTGTCTCATCCATATTGTCTTCACCCAACGTACTGCAGGTCAAAACAATACTCCTCCTGCTTCTAGCCTCGCACTGCTCAAAGTTGGAAATCTCTCCATTTGTCGTCTCTTTTCCCGGGAAGTTCCAATAACCTTGCTCCATTAAACAAATTATTGACTCTTGCCTCTTTACACTTTCAACGTTGCTTTTTGTTGCTGGCCTCTTGGACATATTTGGCCTTTGGGCCTGTGCTCAGCTACGGTTATATATTTTACATTTCTATTTTATATAAGCTGCGGATGGGACTGGTGATAAACTTTGATCTGTACATAAGGCACGAGAAGCTACCAGCCTCACGGCTGAGATACAAGACAGATTTTTCCATCGTTTTAAGTAATCAGCTGTATGACTCAATGAGATGATATGACAATAGTCTGAGTCCATAATTGGCAATAAGTAACGGCAAAGCAGTTATAAGTGACTCAGAATTGTGCGCAGTTGCGTATAGAGTACACGACTTCAAAGAAGGCATTCACCTTCAGCGAGTGCGATGCCGATCACACACGGTTCAAACAACTCCTATAATATAATAATAGGGTTGTTCCCCTTTTTTCTGGCAACAAAACTGAAACCTTTTTTACAAGGATTCATGTCTGCATTAACCACAATACCTGCAGTCAAAATGCAAACAAAAAACATACTATGATAATATATGCATTGTCCTTGAAACTGATTGGTCCACACCAAGGGACGGCTTTCTTTTGAGCCTCATTGCTGGAGGGGTTGCCCCCTACCTGAAAATCCTGGCTCTGCCATCGCCCGCAATGTTATATCTCAGAAGCTAAGCGGGTTTTGAGCCTGGTTAATAATGCTTGGGTCGGCGACCATCCTGCATAGAAAATATTTTAGTGGCAATAGAGGGCAGGGCAGCAAAGTAATTTGTTGTACTATACTTCTATGCTCCCGCGTCTATGAATTCTAGCGCAAGCCTGTGATCCAGCTCTTTGGAGGTAGGGTTGGTGTTACACGCAGAGATGATGCCACGAAGTAGACACGTGCAAAGCAAAGAGTTGCCTTTATGAGGCAGTACAGCAAGTAGGCTCATGACAGACGATGCGCGTGTGGAGTTGTCACAGCGAATGCGTGGATTATCTCGGAACACTATGGATCTCGAGCATGCAACCAAGCATTCCAAATCTGAAAAAAAAATTCGGTAAATAATCTAGTCTTTCCTGAGTGAATATAATATTCATGGGGTGAGCAGACGGGTGATTTACTGAATGAAGGTCGAGGAGGGGATCACTCTTGAAAGGACGTATACCGGGGAGATGGAGCAATGTGAGATCAGCTCGCGTGCAGGACTGAGTTTGTGGCATTGCAGGACCACGAGCAAATGAGTGTCGAGGCCTTTATCTTGCAGCGGATAGAACATGACTCGTGATAATACGTATACATGGGCACTTTATGTGTTTATGTGTATATGTCTACGTATGCAGCTTAACAGCCCTTGCCGCACCAGTAGATAGACAATGACTACTGCTGATGACGGAGTGGCTTGAGAAGGAAAGCGGTGTTATGAGTGAGTCTAGAAATTGGTAATGGTTCATTCGTGCCATTCCCCATAAATAAACAACTTCAATGAGTCACCATGGGGGTTTGGGTATCGTTGTGTGTGTCTCTTTATCCCCTTAACAGCTCCCTGTCCCTTCTCCTCGCAAAAAAAGAAAAAAAAAACCGGCCTGCAGTGTTGTCACAGTGCACACTTTGCATAAGATGCGCGCATCAACACCAGCTGGTTCAGCCACAGAACCTCAATGTTTGCCTTTGGATGTTCACATAGTGGGGGGGGGGGGGGGGGGTCCAAGACAATAACGCAGATACAAAGTCGCCGTGACATCACCACGGCGCCCGTGCCAGGCGAGGTGCACCTTGAGGGCCACGTGAAGTGTCGAAGGCTCCGCTGGCAGGAGGAGGTCACGGGACAGATCCAGGTGGTATAATTTATTTATTTCAAAGAATTATTGCGCACACGTGAAGTGGCATAGCCAGCAAAAAACAAAGAGGAGCATTTGCAGGCAGCAAGCCCAGCCTTCAAAGCACATACACAAAAGCACATCCTAACCTCGTTTTTTTGTTGTTATTGTTGAAACAGAAGGTACAGCCTTATTATACATTATCATCCATACATCCATTCCACCCACCACCACCGCCACTGCTACAGTAGCCTGCCTCTAATATATAATATCAAATCAGGCCAGCTCACGTCAACGCAAGCGCCGTGGTGCTGAGCGGACACGCACACAGAACCGGTGCATTGTATTCCAGCACTGTGTTTTGGACACAACTGATCAAGGTAAGGTCCAGTATACACAAATAGTAGTATATGCAGTGTGTATACAATTCTTAATTATAGCGCGTGTGTTAATATTTCTACGCGAACACAACGCTGCCAGTTGCATTTTGTAGTGATGTGCAAAAAAATGCGTAATTTGTATGAAATGTGGAATGCATTTATGTGTGCGTTAAAAAAAAAAACGCCTCGTGTGTGTAACAGTGCAAAGAAGGTACCGTACATGTTGGATCAAGGTATGCACCGTATATGCATGTTATATATAGCGTCTGTTTGTAAACGTCTATACTACGATGCAAGGGCAATGGTAATAATCTAAATCAATCAGAGTCCAGGTTCTGTAATTGCATGTGCGGCGTGGGTGTGTGGAATAGTGGCAACTCCCTTGCTTTTTGTGCTTTGGAGGGGGGTTAGCTACACGTGTGTAACGGAGCGCAAACACTCGCGTGTGCGCGCCTGTCGCCATGCATGTAAACATGTGTCCACCTGCACGTGCTCGTGTGATTTACACGATCAGCTCATATGTCGACCGCACGTGTGTGTCTGTGTGTATACAGGGGAGCGCTAGTGTAGCAGTTAACGTGCTGTGCTAATAACCTGGCGACGCGTGTTCGATTCCCGCTCACGGTTGACACCAGTGACGATTATCTGAACCGGTCATGGGCATCCCCTAGGTCGACTCAGCCTCAAATGAGTACCTGGTGCTGTGTGTAAAACATCGCCACTCGCGAGACAAAGGTGACCGGGCGTGGTGCTGGTCACCCACCCCCTCGTGTGCCGTGCCGGCCTTCGTAGGTCCTCGCTAACAGCACTTGCCCCAATAGTCTGTAAAAAAAAAAGTCTACACGGGGGATATTTGTAGTAATACCGCCTTTCCAAAACTGTCATTTGTTCATCGTTATCTACTTGCGCCTTGATCTATGCACTGCTGGATGAAGGCATCCCCAAGACGTCGCCATCTCATGTGTAATGCACGTGTGTGTGTGTGTGCGCTTAATACACCACGTATCTCAAACGTGCATTGTGCATCGTTATATCAGAGTCCTATCCCAAGCCCCACTCCCTTTTCTGAACGATGAATTCGATACCTCTATCTAACCCATGTCCTCCAACTCACGTGTTCCCTTTACTGCCCCCTCAGTGTTATTTCCAGCATGTACCTCACCATTTTTGCCTTTTGCATCGTTGCCCATGTGCGCTTTACCGTAACAGCGGCGTGATCATGTGAGATGGCGATATGGCTTTGTGAGCAAGGAGCTTGTCCACTTTATATTAGAATTGACATCAATGGAATAACACATATAACTGAAATGTTTTAATCACTTATAATTGTCTATTTATTTTTAAAATCAATCATTCATCTCCGTCTGCGATGCACCCTTAAGAGTTTCAGTTTCGTTCATTGTGCAGTAAAGACAGTAAAATTGTATTATAGAACGTATTCGTGTGAAAAGTATATTTTGTCCAAATGTACGGCGGCTTTTTTAAAAATCTTTTTCAGAAAAATGTATATCTAGCATAATTTCAAAACCAGTGCCACCAAACAAGTTTATGATTCTTCGCTACGTCCTTCACATGTTGAAATTGCATGCACACACATGGAAACGCGGTCATTTGCAATGTGGGAATGCTCAAATTGAAGCAATTGACGTCTTTCACGACGCTCATATCCTTGCCTTAAACCCGAAGCTTTTGCATCATTGTCCACGCAGTTTCACACCGGAGAGGCTTGGGATCGCTCGCCACAGGATTTGGAAACAAATGCCCTGCAAATGAGATTGCGGTCGCGAAGTAATTCCGCGTTTAGAAGGGTTTACATTGCAGTGCGTTCTCTTGGGAACTCCATACACTCGTGTCATCTCCGAGAAGGTTAACATAACCAATTGGATTTTCTTTAACCATCTCATAATTGCTTGCCGTTGGTATTCTTTTTAAGTGCCAAGGGCATTGGATCTGGCAGCAATGACGAAGTTTAATATTTTGCGCCTGACATTTTAATGAATGGCCTGTGACGAGACAAGCATCGTTCCCCGTTTCCAGAAGCACAGACGGTGCTCACGCAGTTATCATGTCAGTCTGGCATTAACATACCAGGATTACAATGTATCTACACACAAAGCCAGTTGAAGGTTATCTGAGGGCTTGGGTCTGGCGTTCATCACCAGTAATACGGGCAACAGCCTTGAAATCCAGACGAAGGTCAGTCTCGATCCTGCACCATGCTTTCCACTTTGTCTAGCACAGGTTGGGGGGGGGGGGTAGTTGAGCAAAATGGACAATAAATAGTAGGCCATTGCTTCAGTGGCATTAGTGTGGGTAGCGTGGGCTCTGGTCCAGAGGAATGAAAAGGGGCTTTTGGCTCTACGTGGCCCGGGCATCTGGGGCCACACACCCTGTGGTCCCTGGTGAAATTGTCACCGCCTTTGGGCTCCAGAGCTACGCCACAGCACCGTTCACAGTAAGTGGATTATTTTTGGTTGGGCAATTGTGAAAATATGAGAATACGCTTTACCCTTACTGGTAATAAAATAGTTTGCGTTAATATGTTAAAACACCAAACTGAAACCTTTTGTTAGGAATCATGTCTGCATTAACCACATGTACTTGCGGCGAATGTGTAAACAATCGTGTCTGCATGTGGTGAATGCAGATGTGATTCCTTGCGAAAGGTTTCAGTTTGGTGTTTTAACATCTTAACACAACTGTTTTATTGCCAGAGAGGGTAAAACCTCTTCTTATATTTTGATAGTGGCAAGGGAGGTCCCATGAATTGTGACAATGTTTACATGCCGTGGGTCACAAGCCAACGATAAATATGTATGACACCTTAATCTACAACCTGCCTGTGATTACACCACTGTACCGTGAACAAATTGTGTTCCATGGAAAGTCGTTGAAAAAGTTGGAACACAATGCCGCCAGTACTGTAAGACACATCCACAAGTACAGTAATACATATATAGTTCACGTGACGCGGTTCTTTTTTGGTTGTGATTTCTGTTTGCATAAGTGCTGACATGTACTTATTTGTTCTGCTTTTGTCATGTTGCTGACCCAGGTTACTTCTTTGTAAGTGGGTCTCTTGATGTTTCATCCTGTTAAGCAAACTAAACTCACGTCATTTGACTATTCAATTGTCATCATAATCTGTGCGTTCCATCAGCTCATTAACAACAATGAAGCTCAACTAATTATTTTGCCGTGATTCTCCTTCCTTTAGCCAGCATTGCTGATTCCGCCTCAAGTCTTCATTCAACCCTTTTATCCGATTGTGCACGTGGTGAAGTCCAATCTGTTCATCACACGATTGACTCACAGGAGGTATGAAGCAACTCCGGATGCCATCGAACGAATCGACAGACTCAACACGCATTTTCTAATATTTTTTGTCAGCTAATTTTCAAATGCAATATATGATAAAGACAGGCTCGAAGCATGTTCCTCTGGATAGTTTAACACTGCATCCATTCACCTGGTTTTCTGTTTTCCAATATTCCTTGACTAATCTAATCATACTATATTAGAAAAAAAAACGGGTTGCTGGCTGGTTGGCTGGAGAGAGGGAGGGACATGTCCAGAGGACATCCATTGTTGATTGATTTTATTCGACTACATGGGAAGACATATTCAGCCTTAAGCTGTATTACAAGAATGACCTTGGTGAAAAAAAAGAAGTTACAGCGGCAGAAAAAAACGATAACAATGCAGACACCAAAGTAGCAAACAAGTTCAAGGGAAACATCGTTCAAATCATGCTCCATTCAAGTAACACCGGCAGCTGGAAGCGCAGAAGGTTAACACTAACTTGTGTGGGGTTCGCTAACTACACGAGCAAGAAAATCCCCAGTTATTTATTTATTTATGAAAAACTTGAAAAGACCAAGGAAGGACTGTTCGTGTCTATATATATACAGTGAGGGAAAAAAAGTATTTTATCCCCTGCTGATTTTGTACGTTTGCCCACTGACAAAGAAATGATCAGTCTATAATTTTAATGGTAGGTTTATTTGAACAGTGAGAGACAGAAAAACAACAACAAAATCCAGAAAAAGGCATGTCAAAAATATTATAAATTGATTTGCATTTTAATGAGGGAAATAAGTATTTGACCCCCTCTCAATCAGAAAGATTTCTGGCTCCCAGGTATCTTTATACAGGTAACGAGCTGAGATTATGAGCACACTCTTAAAGGGAGTGCTCCTAATCTCAGCTTGTTACCTGTAAAAAAGGCACCTGTCCACAGAAGCAATCAATCAGATTCCAAACTCTCCACCATGTTCAAGACCAAAGAGTTCTCCAAGGATGTCAGGGACAAGATTGTAAACTTACACAAGGCTGGAATGGGCTACAAGACCATTGCCAAGCAGCTTGGTGAGAAGGTGACAACAGTTGGTGCGATTATTCGCAAATGGAAGAAACACAAAAAGAACTGTCAATCTCCCTCGGCCTGGGGCTCCATGCAAGATCTCACCTCGTGGAGTTGCATTGATCATGAGAACGGTGAGGAATCAGGCCAGAACGACACGGGAGGATCTTGTCAATGATCTCAAGGCAGCTGGGACCATAGTCACCAAGAAAACAATTGGTAACACACTACGCCGTGAAGGACTGAAATCCTGCAGCACCCGCAAGGTCCCCCTGCTCAAGAAAGCACATATACATGCCCGTCTGAAGTTTGCCAATGAACATCTGAATGATTCAGAGGACAACTGGGTGAAAGTGTTGTGGTCAGATGAGACCAAAATGGAGCTCTTTGGCATCAACTCAACTCGCCGTGTTGGAAGGAGGAGGAATGCTGCCTATGACCCCAAGAACACCATCCCCACCGTCAAACATGGAGGTGGAAACATTATGCTTTGGGGGTGTTTTTCTGCTTAGGGGACAGGACAACTTCACCGCATCAAAGGGACGATGGACGGGGCCATGTACCATCAAATCTTGGGTGAGAACCTCTTTCCCTCAGCCAGGGCATTGAAAATGGGTCGTGGATGGGTATTCCAGCAAAAAATGACCCAAAACACACGGCCAAAGCAACAAAGGAGTGGCTCAAGAAGAAGCACATTAAGGTCCTGGAGTGGCCTAGCCAGTCTCCAGACCTTAATCCCATAGAAAATCTCTGGAGAGAGCTGAAGGTTCGAGTTGCCAAACGTCAGCCTCGAAACCTTAATGACTTGGAGAAGATCTGCAAAGAGGAGTGGGACAAAATCCCTCCTGAGATGTGTGCAAACCTGGTGGCCAACTACAAGAAACGTCTGACCTCTGTGATTGCTAACAAGGGTTTTGCCACCAAGTACTAACTCATGTTTTGCAGAGGGTTCAAATACTTATTTCCCTCATTAAAATGCAAATCAATTTATAACATTTTTGACATGCGTTTTTCTGGATGTTGTTGTTATTCTGTCTCTCACTGTTCAAATAAACCTACCATTAAAATTATAGACTGATCATTTCTTTGTTAGTGGGCAAACGTACAAAATCAGCAGGGGATCAAATACTTTTTTTCCCTCACTGTATATACCTAAATAATCATATAAACAAAGCTCGACATGTTTGTCAGTTACACTGCCTCAAAAGAAAACTTGAGCACAGGTGACACGTGACGCAATGTCCCTTCTTTATAGCACATGAAAGACCATTGCCCCACATGACTTCTGTTATGTATTTTTCCCTTGTGGTGCCACAGTGTTATTGAAGAATGTGACAACGCACCATCGCCAAATGATCTGTTTACCGATAGGTGGCTTTCATAAATATACCGCAACAGTATTACAACAGTTAGATAGCACTGACATGAACCGGAGAGGAACATGTTAACTAATTCTCACAGTACATCAGTCTACACAATAATTCCACAGAATACCAGTTTTATATCATGGATTTATTTCCTTAATGGACGATTTAAAGTTGTATATACAGTACCTACATTGTAGATGTAGATAATATATGTTGCAGGCAACATCTACAATTATATTCTTGGTTCTTTCGGTAAAGTCACGTATTATTTTATTGTTTCCCTTCTATGTGACTTTACCGAAAGAACCAAGAATATGAATCCCTGCAGTCACGAAAGCTTTAAATCAAAATTTAACATCTACAATTATTAGAAATCTAACTCAGACCACCAAATGTGCTCTCAAGTGTTGCTAATATCCGTAATGAATTGTCACGAGTAAAAATCCATGTGCGCTTCTGCGTATGTAATTACAAGAATATTTGATTAAATGAATTCCATGTAAAGCATTGTCCACCCCAAAAAGAGAACTAAAATTGTATTGCCATCTGTTCTAATAGCAGAAATATATATTTCGAGGTGACCTGATGACTCAGAGGTCGACCACTGAGCCGGCACTGTCGTTATCCTGGCTTCTGATAACTTATTATTTCAGGGGCCCCTCTCGAACCCAGAGGGTGACGCACTGCTCTTCTGGAGCTCCGTATCACTATTCGAACACAATTGGGGTACAAGAATTTAATTCTAGATTTAAAGCTTTCGTGACTGCTAGGATCCATACTCTTTGGTTCTATTGGGTAAAGTCACATAGGTGAAAATAAAATAACAAAAAATCACGACGTTTCGGCCACAACACAAGCGGCCTTCATCAGGCCTTCATCGCTTGTGTTGCGAAACGTCGTGATTTTTTGTTATTTTATTTTCACCTACGTGACTTTACCCAATAGAACCAAAGAGTATGGGGTACAAGAAGACAACAAAAAAATCCATGCGTCCGAACGCACACCCACGGTGAACGCCGATGCATATGCCACAATAACCCATGGACCATCGCCTCCTGATTGATCGCGCCTTCTCGTTACGCACGCCAGCGAAAGCAAGGCGACTGCCGTGGCTCTTCGCGGAGGGGCATGAGCGCCATGCAGAGGCAGGCGGGCTGTGCCGCGTACGCGGAGCGTCTGCGGAAAGTGCTGCCAGCCCTTTCCACGCACGTGCTGCTGGCCGGCCTGCTCATGATCTACGCCTTCCTGGGCGCCGTCACCTTCACCTTGATCGAGGGCGACAAGCACGAGGGCGAGGACACCAAGCTGAAGAAGCTGGTCAGCCAGATCGTCAACCACACCGTCCGCCTCTCGCAGGCAGGTCGGTGCCAGGGGCCCCACCGCGCGGATGTCTGCGCGCTCGCGTGGGTCATGCGTGGGGGTCGTGTTCATATCGCCACGGGCAGCCTCTCAGTACCGTCTGATGGTCGTAATTATCGCCATGCAGGCTTTTCACCCGTAACGTGGTGGTTGCGTTCATAGCACACCCTCTTATGGAAAATAATCGCGTTATAAATGTTTTTTTTTTAATATAGGAGGTAAAAGCACAGTCCGCGATAGAACGTGAGATGCGTATGCAGGCTGATTAAACACTGAGGCGCGTGGGTAGCATCACGAAGCATCCAACAGCATCCTGCCCTTGTGTGATGCTACGCTGATTCAGCCATAAAACCGCATATTCCTACTCGCGCGACGTAGTTCTGTTCACTCAATCGCGTTATATCCAATTCGCGTTATGAAAACAGGCGACGTTTATAGGTTGGATAGAATGTACCATCACGTGGGGGGGGGGGGGGTTGTTTCCCAATGAAAAGTGGCACTTCGTTTAATTTTTTAAAAATCTATTTTTGCACAGGAAGGTCCCACTTGTCCAGGAGGGTCTTGTATTGGGGTGTTTAACAAATTCCGTTCATGGGTCTTTGGCATGTGAGAATAAGTTAGGGTTGTTGGCAGTGCCCGGGGAACAAGCTCGTGTCGCCGTGTTCATATCACAGTGTGCTAACCACTGTGCCACAGCTGCACCCAAATGCTATAAATATGCACTCTGTATTCTGCAGTCTAAATTGACTACCTAATTAATCAGCCAAGCATGTGGAATTTTGGAAAAAAGACTCAGTGGTGAATGTCCGGGAGCAGAGTGCAGTTTTAAGTAATACACTTTCTGCATAATTGCCTATGCCTAGAGTTGTTATTTTGTATTTGCTTACCTCACCATAATTATATTGTGTCAACAGCTGCTGCATTTACACATCCTTGCACTTTTTCCGCTTTGCAATACAATGCTTATTGTTTTACTTTATGTCACGTGTGCACAAAGCTCACGCAGCTTTCCTGAGCGACACGTGAATGCAGTCACTGCCCATAATATTTGTTCTCGGCTCTCATCTGCGATGCCACATTTGACACCGTCATGGTGGCAGCTCTGCCAACGCTGGGCAGAAGTGAATTAAGACTGTATTGTGTGTTAGCATCCGAAGTCACGACAGTCAGTTATATTTAAAATGCTCTCAGTGCTCAATGTAGCAGGAGAGTCACAACTTAATACTTTTTTGTATGATTATCTACGCATAGTTGGCAAGACGAAATGCAAAACTATTGCTTTTGTGTCTTGTTAAGTAGCATAAAAAATAATGATGAGAATACAGTCGCAAGAAACACATAACGATTTCCAGACAAGTATCAAGAACAACAATCGTCAGTGTTGTTGTGTAAGCAGTATGGGGGAGCAGTGGTGACATTCGTGCAATACGCTATGAACCCAGTAACCCAAGTTTCCGGGAGAGGATAAACGTCAGTTACGAGTGATATCTGACTTGGTCACGGGTTCCCGTCTTCGACCTTCACCAGCCCACACCGACCAGGACGGTAAAGTGTGATCGAACAATTCCCGTGAATTACAGGGCCTAGGGCAGCCTTCGTGAAACGATGGATGGAGAACAGCTGGTGATGATATATAATGTAGTATTTCAATATAGATGGCAAATTATGCCCATGCTTAGCTTTATCTTTCGAATGGCATGAGCTCTATTTTACTGGTTTGAGATTACAATTGTTTTTCGTAATGCAAGGATATATACAGAATGAATGTTCCACCAGTCGGTGCATGAAGACAGTTTACACATAAAAATGTGATCATAGCCACAACTCGCAATTTTATTTCAATTGTCACGCTTCTTGATTATTATGTTCATGTAAATGCACAATAATGAGTGGCTGGTGGTGTCTCATGACCCCAGTTGGAGGAAGAAACACACACCACCTCACCTTTCTCAGTTTCAAGTTACAGCTGCAGGTGGCTTAACTAATCATTGTAATGTCACGAACCAACATCAACATCAGCCATGATTCATCAACTGCTGGAGGACGGCCTTCCCAAGCCACCACCATCTCTCATGATCTTGCGATGCAACAATCCATCCAGCACCTGTTCATGAGCTGATTGTATAACTCCATCTGCTCGGTGCATATTCTATTGGAAGCATTCCATTGCTTGACTACCACTCTGTTATCATTATTGACCACCAATAATGCCCACGATGTAGCCAGGAAAGCCTGAACGAGGCTCACGACTCTCCTTCAGCGTGGTCCCACATTGCGATGTTTTGGCATGTGGGAGTCGAGTGGAGAACCAGAAGAAAACTCACCATGCACATGAGAAACTAAATAAATAAATAACTCCAGTGGGTTCCTAATATAGGAAGGAAGAGAGTTCCAGACGGCCGCAGAAGCGCATCTGAAAGCGCGCGATGCGCACATTAAAAAAATACAAGGTTGGGCATAATCCCAGTAGCATTGGTTCAATACATGCAAACTCTTGACCAGTCTCAACGACCTAGTGTCTCAATCAGCGTATTCAGGCCAGCTCAAACCAAATGCACAGGAGAGGGTGCATTGCTACGATACACCGACAGCAATGTGCTACGATGCACCAATACTCATGGAAAGTCGCGTGGATTACTCTGCTAGCCCCTTACACTGGGACCACGAGCTGCCACTGACAGTGAGAGTGCAGAAAATGAAAATGGGCCCTTTGTGATTCAGTAAATGAGTGTGATTTGCAGTCGTCATTCAAATTGAGGATTGATTCGTTTTTCACCTTGTCAATGTAGCGGCCTCTAGTGGCTTGAACGGTTCCATATCATTTTAAAATAACAGTTCTTATACGTGTAGTTGATGGCAAGCATTATGAGCATGAAATTTAGAATAAGTGACTTAATACGCTATTAGCCTCATATTAATTCGATTTGACACAATTATTTTATTACGTGAAACTTTATTTTTCGCCATAGGATAGAGAAGTGGCACAGTGGTTAGCACACTGTACTATGAACTTGATGACCGGAGTTCGATTCTCAGCTACTGTTAACATCAGTCGCAGGTAATATCTGAACTCACCTTCACCAACCCGCGTGGACCATCGTGGTGAAGTATGGTCAAACAATTCCCATTATCAACATGGGGTAGGGAGGAATTAATCCATCACTTGATTGACAAAGGACGGTAAATCATGAAAATCAATCATCAAGCAATGTGCCTGGTGCTTATGGCTTCTTGTCTAAGATGCTGCAATTCAAATGTTGTCAATGCTTGTGATCATTATTCTTTATTTGCAGGCGATATGGAGAATGGCACCAAGTACCACGACTACTTGAGCATCGTCCTGGCAGAATTCTACAATCTTACCATGCAAAAGCCCATCAAGTGGAATTTCCTGGGATCGCTCTTTTTCTGCTGCACAATCTTCACGACCATAGGTACCACACGATCAGTGGCTGCCCATAGCTCGGGCTCAAGGAGGCAAGATTAGCGAGTGAAAAGGGAACTCTTGAGTGAGATTGTAACAAAATACAGTTCTCCAAATGTTTGTTTTCGGTTTCCATCAGCTGTTGGTCATCGTGAAGTCTGTTGTTTCGCTCCAAACAAACACACGGTAGAGCTGTACAGCATGACCGCAAAAACCTACAGAGTAAATTTCATTTATCTTGCAGCATCGTAGTTTTGCTTCTGAAGGTATAATTCTACCAATTGCAAGTGTTGTTTTTTTTTCTTTCAGAAGGACTCTGCAATGGAATGTTTGGCAAATTCCATTAATGAATTGTTTGGCTTCATGCAGGAGAAAATTATAGCAGTTGGAGAAAATGCATGCATACGAAGGAATAACACTCAGTGTTCTGAACAGATATATTAAAACCAAAAACAGGCATTGCTAAGCAAGTAACTGAATATGTATTCGCATTTAATTGCATGTTTAAACTTTGGAATATTGATGCTGGTGGTATGTGGGACAGACAATAGTATGCGTTGCCTAAATAAATACATATTTTTCCGTCGACTTGTTCTGTAGGCTATTATTTAATATGCAAATATATATTTGCATTTAATCTTAATACTTTGTCGTGACATTGAAGAATTTTGTTGAGTTGCTAAAAAAATACTTTTTGAGAAGTGCCCCCTATTCCTTCATTTCAGTAAAATTTCAAATTCAGAATGCGAGGCTAAGCTGTTCGCATCACAGCCAATTAAGCAATGTTTTAAAGCAATTAAACTGGAAGTTACTTCCATAATTGTCCTACTTACAATAAATCCTTGGGTGCCCAAATCCAGATGAAATCCAATCAAGTAACAGAACTTGGTAAATACTTTGTGCCCAAAATGCAAAGCACTGGCAAGTGGTATTAGACACGAAATTAGTGTACAAGTACAGGTTGTACTGTCCAGCTTCGCAAATTACTTGCTGAATGTGTGCAGGCGCTTTAAAATACCGTATTGATTTTGGTGGAACATGGGACTGATGACGGTGGACATTGCCCTAAGAAATATACATGCATACCTGTCTAATTCCTGGATACACTATTGCTTAATGTCCTTTTTTGGAAATGTTGCAACCACTCGATTTTTCCATGAAGTTCACAAATGAGAATTTCTTGCTCTTTGGTTCTTTCGGTAAAGTCACGTAGGTAAAAATAAAAAATAAAGCTAATCAAATCACGACGTTTCGGAGGCAACACAAGCTTCCGTCATCAGGTGTAACTAGCACAGCGAAATTAATGTAAATAATTTCTTGCTCAAGATGTGGAGTCAGGTCCTACTCTCGACTCCCCTAAATTAAATCACAATAACAAGCCTTAACGTTAATTAACAGCATCAATTAATCTGTGGGATTGATGTGCGCAGCCGTAATGCAGGGGTCAGATTTATGAACATTTGCCGCCCGGCCGCCAGAGTATAAATGACCACCTCCACCCCATGCATCCTCCGTGTCTCCCACTCCCCACCCCCCTCCTCTTACTCATAGACATAGTCCCAGCAGCAGTAATATTGATATAATTGTAAAAAAAAAAATCCTCCTTTATTTTTTCGTGGGCCTCTCTGCAGTTGTGAGCACTTGACGACCGTCACGTTGACCTCCCCCTCCAAAATCTGCCCTTGCTCGTGAATGTAATATCACCGTGAATGCTTTTCACTCAGCACCGACGTTCGTTCCACCACGGCCAGTTAACACCGGACCCCCTCTTTGAACGCCGGCAGGCTACGGGCACATCGCGCCTTCCACAGACGGCGGCAAGATCATGTGCATGGTGTACGCCACCTTCGGCATCCCCATCATGCTGCTGGTGCTGGCCGACGTTGGCGACCTGCTGGCGCGCACGCTCACCACCATCTACACGTCCTTCCGCCACCGCCTCCTCCCGGGGGCGCGGTGCGGCCGGCAGCACCCACCCGGCGATGGGCCGGAGGGGAACGATCTCCAGCGGTCGCGCACCAAAATCGACGACAGCCACCGGCATGAGGGCGAGGACGATGCGGTGGACGTGCCCCTCAAATCCCCCGGCAGCGACGTGGAGGGCGGCAGGGAGTTGCCGGCGACGGTCAGCATCGCCGAGGGCGCTGATGTCCCGGAAGCCGACAGAGAAGTCAAGGAATTGGACGTTCCCTTCACGCTCATTTTCCTGATCGTCTTCGTCTACCTGATGTTCGGGACCTTCCTCCTGCCCTGCTGGGAGGAATGGAGTTACCTGGACGCCTTCTACTTCGTCTTCGTGACAATGACCACCATCGGCCTAGGCGACATCGTGCCAAAGCATCCCAACTTCTTCATGCTTACGTCCATTTACATCATCATCGGCATGGCCATCATCTCCATGGGTTTCAAGCTCACGCAGGACCGCATCTTTGCGCTCTACGGCCGCATCAGCATCCCGCGCCAGAGACTAAGAGACTGCGTGAAATGTGCCAGATAGGCGCCATCAATGCCACCGCCACTGCTGCCATCATCCTGAGCGGACTTTCAAAAACAACAACAACAACAACAAAACCGATATGCCTTCCTACCTTCTTTGAATATTCCTACTCAATACTACCAAGTGAATGCATGAACGTAGAGGCGATATAATGAATTATTTGTTATTTGGTCATTGCCTGCGTTTTACACACTCATTAAGTATCAGGGTTATGCTGGCCTTGTTTGTTGCCCTTAAATCCCGTAAATATATATTTGGGTTTTGCCCAATATTATGCAATGCTCATTATCAGAGACGTTGCTTTCAGAAAGTGAGCTGCATTTACATTGCAACACTCAGCAAGGGAACTTGGGTGGTTTTGACAGTAGAATGCTTCTCTACGGCATAGCCAACGTTTGTAGTTGTCAACGGCGTTGCATGGTGGGTGTACACGTATGCATTACGGGCCTATTTAATGCATTAATAATGTGAAGCGTCATAATTTTAGTGAGCGTATACGAAAGCACAAATGGCCCCTGTAGGCCCTCACAGCGCTCATGTCCACGTGCGAGTGAGCATTCCGTAGTGCTTGACGCGACGCGGTTGGCGTGAAAAGTCAGAACTGCACGGAAATATATGGGTTTTTTTTTTCTCTCGTAGGTCACGTAACCCATTGGTTTTTAGCGACACGAATGTTTACATTAACTTGCACTTGCGCAGAATCATACCTGTCAATCCCTTATCAGTGCCTACCTTCGTACAGACCAATTGAGACCTTTATTGGTCACCCCGTGCCCTTTTAAATCTCAACGTTTATCCTATAAAGTCCCATTGCAAGGGAGAAACACAAACAAATAGACAAAAACTAAATTTGCCTCTGTTGATACAAGAATACGGGTAAATCGTATGGGTTGACAGGTATGCGAAATGCAGAATTATTGGTGTGTCCTTCTGACGTGCTCACGTCTTTTAATCCCCTTTATAAAAAGTAAATTCAATTGAACCAAATATTTTTTTTTCCATCACAATACACATACGTACTGCGATCGCATGATTTTTTTCCATAGCATGTAAGTCACGTGGAATTGTTTGAATTTATATATATAAAGCATACATAACCACAAGTTATTCGTAACAATTGTTCCAATCGCACAAGTTACTTCGATGCAGTGATTTATTTACGGGCTATATTTGATGAATGGCAATTATGTCCACCAATTCCATGGTTCACCAGAGGTTAGTAACATGGCAATGCTTTCTGTGCACCGTGTGCAGCCCTTTTGTCAATCCACTGCTGGACGAGGGCCTCCCCCCCTCCCCCCCCCATGTGACCGTGCATTTCGTGGGGGGCTGTTCGACCTTGCTTCGCCGCGTCACACTGCTAAAAAAATGCAGGCTGAGTTTCGCTCAGTTTTTATTTGGTGATGCGAGAGACTCGCATGCAGCCACAGGTCTGCTTTTCAAGACAGACCCACGGAGTACCTTGCGAGAGATGTTACGTCGTTAGCAGCAAATAATACGACAGGATAACAAGAATGAATCGTCATTTTTTTTTAACACGAGGTAGGTCGCTTCAACATTCGAAAGGCATACGATCAAGGGCAACACTTTACGGGACAGGAGGAACAACAACAACAATCTATATACATGTAACAAAAACGAGTTATGTAAAGCATGCTTATCACATGTGCAAGTGAAAATGGTATTTGAAATCAAGTAAGGAATTTAATCGAGGGCCGGTGATGGGAGAAATATTTTCCGAAAACATGAAGCGAGCTCGTTCCACGAAAGGGGAGCAGCAACACGAAATAATCTTCGAACCAAAGTTCGAGTCGCTCTCGGCACGTAGACAAAAACGAGAGAGGAAGTATGGCTTCGCTGACGGAGGGGTTACAAATGTGGGCGAGAGGTTTCAAGATTTTGGTCGGCCACCAACTGAAGGGCAACGGGAGGAATTTCATCTGCGCCAGTGGCAGAAGAGGCATTATTTAAGGTTTAGACCAAGCTGATGCATTGTCTAGGTGAGGCAGCTCAATTCTTGCTTCAGTCCCGGATATGAATTATGGTCAGAGTGAGAAGTATCGTACTGATTTAGTTGGGTGTATACTGGCTTCGTTGATGTATCGAAAACATAGCCTGCCGAGGCCAAATGGAGTTGAGTTCACCGACGATTTAGATTGAAGGCGGAGAGACATTGAAGTATAGCAAAGGAGCACAATACATTTTTGCTGCACTGCTGTGCTTCCAATGCAGTCCTGTAGCAGCCTGTAACACCTGTTTTATGCTTGGTGGTCATCCAGAAATATCCACCAGGCTCAGCGTCCGATATCTGATAAAATCAGTCAGCCTCATTCCAAGGGATTTGGTCAGAAGCATGCTTTCTATAAATATAAGAAAATGGAGATGAGACAGCATGATGGCGATGGGAGGGGTGTTTATTGACGTTATAATCTCTGTGATGTTCTAATATGTGTCTGTTCCGAGCACTTGCCTTTGTTGCCACATGCTTTGCGGCTTCGGTTTTGAAGACATTTCCCGTCGACTCGGCAATCTTCTTCCCTTCGTATGGCTGATGATGTAGATGTAGATGGAGAGCGTCGACTGCAATTTCACATTCAAGGTGGTCAATCCGGACAACCGCGTCAGGAGCAGCAGAGTGTGTCGCTGTGATGTCGCCCGTGATGAATCGGCATATGTATCGCTGTGATGAATCAGCAATTACGTGGCCAGTGAGCGCACGTGGCCCAAGGAAAGTTGTCCGAAGGTAACCTGGTCGACATGGATTCACGTGGTGGCTGATTGCTGCTGCTCGTGGGGATATCATTCACCTTATTCGGTGATGGATGGAGCATTTGAAATGGCAAACAATAACTTACCATAAAAGTCATCCATTTCATTGTTGCCTAATTGAATGTAAAAAAAACAGAAAGAAAAGTAGATACACGGTTATCCGTTCAGAGATAACCGCGCTTTAAATAATAAGGATAAATTACAGAGAAAACCCACATTTTAATTCGATACGGCTACAAGCCTCCCACCAATCTCAATACTCTTATGTAAGCTTTTACTCATGATGCACATTGGCAATAATCAATCACAATGTTCAATGGGCTGTTGAGCGGAACGTGCGAGGGTCATTGGAAATCAGTGGGGTATGTATGCGAAAAGGTCTACTGTGGAGAGATGTTACGCCTGTAACAGGATCGACATTTTTGCATTCAAAAAAGTATTGTAAATTGACATATATCAATTTAGTTTTAAAAAAATTAGACACAATTTATGATGGACAATGGGAAATCTATGCAAATATATTTTACACATGCATGCATATATATGCAACGTGTTTTCGAAAGTTATGTTGGTACCCGTATCTCGCTTGCAAAAGAGATTTCTAGGCTTTCACCTGGTTGTAAACAAAGGCATTATCTCTCCGATGTGTTTTCAAGTTCTACCGAATGTGGTTAGGCACGATGTCCAACGTTTAAATCCACGTGCTGGGAGCTTCGTCAGGAAATTAATCACACGCTGGGAGCTTATTTAGGAGCTGATTCAGAAACAGCTCCCAGCATACGTCAGATAACACCAGCTGGAAAAGTCGAAAAACCAATGCAGTAGAAATGGTACTGATTGCTTTGTGTTACAGGGAGTCTAATTGGTATCCCAGACAATCGCACTGGAAGAAGGGCCATTGTTTGATTATCGCTGTCATTATAATTGTGGAGGACTATGGGACAATCATATGAACACATAAGAACAGTTGCGAATAGTCCTTGTAAACAGCCCATACATTCAGGAATGCAGATCCATATCACAGTACATCTCAAGCCATTTCATGCCAAGCATCTACAGAGACTTGAGGAATACCCCGCATATACACCCATACAATTTGCACGGTATATGCAAATCAGGGTATACACAAACATAAATAATTTGCTGCCCTTTGTCAATCACCAGGTTGTATCACTATACTTAATTTCGGTGAATGCAGGTTGAAGAATTGGTAGGACCAGGATCAGCTCAGGCATCACTTACCACTGATGTTAGCCGTGGCCAGCAATTGAACTCAGGTTACTGGGTTTAGAGAGAAGTGCATGATCCACTACACATACTGTACACGGATACAATGCGAATATGAAATGTGCATGTTGTTATGCAATGGGGCTATATTTATGTGACTATTTTTATATGCATGCTGTATGTTTTTTTATGCATGTTTTTGTTAAGTGTTTACCTATCTGTAATGAAATCATCACAGACCTGGCATATGCACTTCACACATTTGTGATAGAGAAAAAACGGTTCTGTCCTTTTTGTTTGAATTATTTAAAATTGTGCCACTATTTATACTTTATAGGCAATCAATAAAACTTATTTAAAAAAAACATCCCATTTAGCCCGTTTTCCTTGTCACCAAGCGTAACTGATGTTCGACAAAAACACGATTTCAGTCACCAAGTTTGCCGACGACATTTTTTCAGTTTGCTAAATCCACGGTGGAGCAATTTCATGCAAATCTATTAATTATTCAATGAGCGATTTTGAACTTCAATTCACCCAGAATGTGCCACGCCAGAGAACCCGAGCCCAGTGCATTTCGCTGGTGGAGATGGATTGTAATTTATACATTTTGCTTGCTCAACGCCCTGTTTCTGTGTTTGTTTATTTATGGGTTCGGTCATTCATGCAATCATTTTATTTGCAATCAGTAGAACACTAATCTCAGATAAAGTCCGCCACCGCAGTGCAACATTAACCCTTTTACAAGTGTACTTTATGTTTTACACATCCCTCATCTATACATTTCATTTTCCATATTTATTTTGTTTTGTACGAAATACAAGCACAAAGTTAAGTCGACCAGCGTCGCATTGAATGAACATTGTTCACCGATTCTAAAGCATATTCGTAGGCGGACACACATTATTCAACGTGAAGTCATACGGAATGTTTAGTTGGGTCATTTTCACCAGCACACAATGCCCCGGCATGGAGCGTAATGAGATATGTATCTATTTAAAGCTTTCGTGACTGCAAGGATTCATCTTTTTTGGTTCTTTCGGTAAGGTCACGTAGAATGAGAATAAAATAACACAATAAAATTCTCACGATGCATCGGCCACAACGCAAGCGGCCGTCTTCAAAAGAAGAGATATGTATCCTCACCAATCAGACTGGCGTTTATTAACCACGTGCTAGGGTTGACATTGTTGCTTACTAGATTTTGGAAATTCCACAGGCAAACACACATTTGTGTTGTAACAGCAATGAACAATTGACTGCGCATTGTGGATCTCAAAAGGTAAGCAGATCTGAGCCCGTTTCGTGCTGGGATAGGTGACCACTAGGTCTTGCCAGGTGTTGTAGACATGCAACTGCAAATTGATCAGGAGATGGCAGTGCTGAACCTCAGCATGTGTTTACTCTGAGTAGTCCAGTTTTTTCTTAGAAGCAGCCAAAGGACCATTGGTGTAAATGGCACGACGTCCAACGCAGGACCCTTCTAAGAAAAAAATACTCCTGAAACACAACGAGGCACACCACGTGTAGTGACGGTATTGACGTCACAATTGTGTGCGCGTCTGGAACCTCTCTCGGAGGCCGCCAGAGTGTGCACGGTAGGCGAGCTGGCCCCTAGGGGGCGCAGTCCCGGGGACAGGGCAGCGAAGAGGCTCGAAGGGGGCTCTCGAGAGCTCGCGAAGGGGAAGCCGAGAGCGGGCTGGCTGGATGCCAGGAGGGGGGGCGTGGCCAGGGGAGGAGCGAGGCCACGCTCTGGGGGATAGAGGGGAAGCCCGGACAGCGATCGGGGCCTCTTCTGTGGAATCAAGCATGGGTTGCCGCGTCTTCGGACTTCGGTCTGGGACTTCGCTCGGTGTCGGGGGTCGGGCAGCGTGTGCGCTGGCTGACCCGTTCGATTCGTTAAGCTCGCTATTCACACAGAGCAGGTCGTTACGCCGAACTATAGAACCAGTTGCGTTTAGAGTTGCATCGTTAGAGGAGAGTTGTTAATAAACGTGTTGCCTCCAACTCCAGAGTGCGTGTCTCCAATTGCACCGCTACACATGTGTAGTGAGCGGCTTCCGCGACACGTCAAGTAGAAGGATTCTTATTTATTAGGAACACACCGGGCGATACATTTACGTAACGCAGCTACACATAGCCGACCCTATCACACAACCCCATCGTCGCCATCCAACTAGACAGCTGTCCGACTAGCGCAGCGACGATGAGAGTCTTGCAGGAGATCGGCCACGTGGCCGGACGACGGAGAGAGATGACGGCGAGCAGCGACACAGCCAGGACCCAGGACCCGCAACAGCACCGCACCTCTGGTTCGGCCCCCCCTTATATACACCCCGGCGCGGCCAAGCCCCGCCTTTGGCCATGCTCCCTTCCAGAACCTTCAAGCAGGTTCCCGGAGCTTCGACTGACTCCGCCTTTCACCTGAAAACCAGACACGCCCCCCTCATCATTAGGCATTACGTAATATACCCATAACCGCGATTACCCCTTCAGGCCGACAGGTGGCACCCTGTTATTACACATGCACGCATAATTACCATTATATTATTATACAAAATAAAGGCTTTTACTTTAGGTGTGATTTTTCTAGATGAGGAACAGGTGACTCAATTCTTAGAAAATTGTTAAGACAAACATGCTTTGGAAAAAATGCAACTTAACATTAGACAAGAAAAAGACCATGTCTATCATTATAAACACATATATAGGCCTCATGATACTTAAATACCTTTACAAAATCCTCCCATATAGACTTTTACAGATTGTAGGGGCAAGTGCTGTTAGCAAGCACTTGATTAAAGCCAGTTGATGTAGCAAGTGGTCAGCACTACACCTGATCACCTTTGTCTCCGCAAATGCTGATGTTTACACACGGCACCAGGTACTCATTTTAGACTTAGTCGACCTACGGCAGGCCCAGGACCGGTTTGGATATCCATCACTGATGTTGGCTGTGATGTGGAATCAAACTCAGGTTCATTGGGTTCACAGCGCAGTGGGCTGCCTATGATACCACCGCTCCCCACGTGGCGAGGAATCTAACTCTGGCAGCCAGCAGCATGCTAACCGCTCCCAACGAGATAGAAGTATAATGAGGTATGATACAAAGACAAAACCCCCCGTATAGCCTGTAACAGACTGTTGGTTGGGGCAAGTGCTCTTAGCGAGCACTTCTGAAAGCCAGAACGGCACACGAGGGGGTGGGTGGCCAGCGCCACGCCCAATCGCCATTGTCTCCCCAGTGGCGATGTTAACGCGCAGCATCAGGTACTCATTTAAGGCTGAGTCAACCTAGAGGAGGCCCAGGACCGGTTCAAAATAGTCGTCACTCGTGTTGGCCGCGAGCGGGAATCGAACTTGGGTCGCCAGGTTCGGAGCGCAGTGTGTTAACCGCTATATTACCACTCCCCACTGTGTCTTTGGTATGATACTTACATACATTCACACACATACACGGGGGATTGATTAGCGATATCATGTATTCAGCGTCATAATTTTTTGTGGTTTATTATCATGAAGACATGTTTGTCAGGTGAAAATTATTTTCCTACAAAGTATGGAATGCAATGGATGTAAGTGCGATATTGCTACTAAATTATGATGAAAGCTGTTCTGTCCCCTAAACCATGAATAAACCCATAGTTGTCGGATGAATTAATTCAGTAACGGACTAGTAAGTATTGTAATTAAGTTTTATTAAAAGGACGCTAGACAGTTTTGTGAATTTCATGATAATGAATGAAGAGCATCGCACATGAGTCAGCGGCATAAATAACACATCCAGAAGTAATGATGAAATATTTATACAGTGAGTTATTGATTGTCGGAAATTGTGCGATTGCTCATAAGTAGCCAAAAATTGCAGTTTTTTTCGGCGTACACACATGTTTTCAATTCCGTATTGGCAGGCAATGCCTTTAACATACTGCTGTTTAAAAAAAATAATCTCTACCATTATAAATAGTTGAACAATATATATTTTTTTCAATTTAGACATATGAAGAATTTGGGGAGGCCTTTATCCAGCAGTGAATTGACCATGGGTAAATAACTCAAATAAACAATATAAAGCCTGCACAAAGAATACATTATGAAGTACAAAATACTGTATATGAAATAGGCATCCTATTCAATTCATTCTATATGATCAGAAATTGTGAAATGCCGTTGACACTGATCTAACACATGCAAGACAGTTTGTAGGCTGAGCACTGTTAATATGTAATGCTCAAAGCACAAAGGGGAACACTTTCTGGCATTCCCAGCTATCTGAGCTGGTCTAAAGAGTTTTTTTTTCCATTTATGCTTATAAAGTATACATGCATGTAACGTGTGCTATGTCACGGTTAATTAGAATATCTCAGCAAATTTGACAAGAACACACACACACATTACAATGTACGGTATGTGACAAAGCACGTGATAAAACGCACTCCTGATCTTCACACTGTGAACCTTGTACACACATTAGTATTTGGTGACCTTAATCATCAGCAGCCATGCCCCAGCCACTGGTGGCTGAAGGCCTCCTCCGTAAGTTCTTCGCCATCCCTCTCGGGTGCTTGCGATGCGACGACTCGACCCGACCCCCCCTGCACACGAGGCTGTGTTCCTTCCTCGGTTGACGTGCTGACACCATTGGGCATCGTCTCTTCTCGTGGTGATGTCAACTAAGGGGTCGTCCATAAATTACGTCACGCGATTTTGGACGATTTTTGACCCCCCCCCCCATCGTCACACGGCGTCACTAAAAAGTCAGACCCCCCCCCTCAAATATGACGTCACAACGCTCTGCCCCCTCCCCCCCCCAAAAAAATAAAACATGCTTCAAATCGCTTTAAACTATTGTCATTGTAGTGCGTATTTAATGTGCCGCTGCACTCTGATGTTGTAGGAGAAAACATTCATTAAAAAGACTAATTAAGTAGAACGTGTTGTTTATGTTTATTTAAAGTTGCGTATTTTGATGCGACGTCACATTTCTCCCCCCCCCCTCCCCTCGTCACACATCGTCACAAATGTCTGACCCCCCCCCCCCACCACTAGGTGCGTGACGTCATTTATGGACAGGCCCCTAAGGGCCCAATGCCAAATTTGTTTCGCGAGAGTCAATATGTTGACGTCTCCAATTGGCGTTTGTCTCCTGTTCTGTGTGTTCCTCGTTGCGCCTGCAAGTGTAATCACAAGCGTGCGTGTATGTATGCATGTCGAACTTCTTTTGCGCTGTACGTGGTCAACCGTGCTAATCCGAGGCGCGAAAGCATGCGCCCCTCATTGCAACTTTGCACATGTTTTAGCTTTTGTTCCATTGTCAAAGTTTCCCAACTTCACGTCATATATCACAGCGGGTTATA